AGTAGTAGTAGTAGGAGTAGTAGTAGCATTCGTAGTGGTAGTAGCAGTACAAGTCGTAGTATCAGTAGTAGTAGTACTTGTGGAGGGCATAGTAGTACAAGTAGTAGTGGTTGTAATAGTAGTAGTAGTAGTAGTAGTAATAGTGATATATGTACTGCGACTAGAAGTCTGAGTATTAGTACTAGTAGTAGCAGTAGTAGTCGTAGTAGTACTAGTAGTACTAGTAGTACTAGCAGTACTAGTAGTAGTAGTAGTAGTAGTAGTAGTAGTAGTAGTAGTAGTAGTAGTAGTAGTAGTGGTAGTAGTAGCAGTAGCAGTAGCATTAGTAGCAGTAGTAGTAATAGTAGTAGAAGTAGTAGTAGTAGTAGTAGTAGTAGTAGTAGTAGTAGTAGTAGTCGTAGTAGTAGTAGCAGTCGTAGGAGTAGGAGTAGTAGTAGCATTCGTAGTGGTAGTAGCAGTACAAGTCGTAGTATCAGTAGTAGTAGTACTTGCGGAGGGCATAGTAGTACAAGTAGTAGTGGTTGTAATCGTAGTAGTAGTAATAGTGATATATGTACTGCGACTAGAAGTCTGAGTATTAGTAGTAGTAGTAGTAGCAGTAGTAGTCGTAGTAGTACTAGTAGTACTAGTAGTAGTAGTAGTAGTAGTAGTAGTAGTAGTAGTAGTAGTAGTAGTGGTAGTAGTAGCAGTAGCAGTAGCAGTAGCATGAGTAATAATAGTAGTAGTAGTAGTAGTAGTAGTAGTAATCGTAGCAGTAGTAGTAGCAGTAGTAGTAGTAGTAGTCGTCGTAATATTGGTAGGAGTAGTCGTAGTATTAGTAGTAGTAGCAGTAGTATTAGTAGTAGTAGTAGTTGTAGTAGTCGTAGTAGTAGTAGCAGTAGTAGTAGGAGTAGTACTTGTGGAGGGTGTAGTAGCATTAGTAGTTGTAGTGTCAGTACAGTAGTACTTGTGGAGGGTATAATATTACAAGTAGTAGCGGTTGTATTAGTAGTAGTAGCAGTAGTCGTCGTAGTAGTAATAGTAGTAGTAGTAGTAGTAGTAGTAGTCGTAGTCGTAATAGTAGTAGTAGTAGTAGTAGTAGTAGTAGTAGTAGTAGTAGTAGTAGTGGTATTAGGAATAGTATTAGAATCTCTGAGAATCTCTCAGAATCTTTCAGAATTTCTCAGAATCTTTCAGAATCTCTCAGAATCTTTCAGAATCATTCAGTCTCTCAGAATTTCTGAGAATCTCTGAGAATGTCTGCACATCTTTTAGAATCTCTCAGAACCTCTCAGAATCTATCAGAACCTCTCAGAATCTTTCAGAATCTTTCAGAATCTATCAGAGTCTCTCAGAATCTTTCAGAATCTCTCAGAATCTCTCAGAATCTCTCAGAACCTGTCAGAATCTGTCAGAATCTCTCAGAATCTTTCAGAATCTTTCAGAACCTTTCAGAATCTTTCAGAATCTCTCAGAATCTTTCAGAATCTCTGGGAATCTGTCAGAATCTTTCAGGATCTCTCAGAACCTCGCAGAATCTCTCAGAATCTCTGAGAATCTCTTAGAATCTTTGAGAATCTTTCAGAATCTTTCAGAATCTTTCAGAATCTTCTAGAATCTCCCAGAACCTTTCAGAAACTTTCAGAACCTTTCAGAATCTCTCAGGATTTTTCAGAATCTCTCAGAATATCTCAGAATCCTTCAGAATCTCTCAAAATCTCTGAGAATCTCTCAGAATCTCTCAGAGTCTCTTAGAATATCGCAGAATCTCTCAGAGGCTCGCAGTGGTTCTCAGAACCTTGCAGAGCCTTGGAGCTTTTCAGAGGCTCCAAAGTGGTTGGGATCTCACGCGTCCCACGTGTCCTTGACGGTTGGGATCTGAACCGTCCGGATGGGATCTCACGCGCCCGGTTGGGATCTGAACCTTTATCGCCCGGCGCGCCAGAAGCTTCGCGCGGCGTCGCGCTACGAGATCTCGAAGCGAGGGCGCGGGCGCGGCGACGAGGGGGCCTCTCGGAGAGATCGCCCCCGCGTCTTCATTCCGGGGGCGGGGGCCTCAGTCAGCGAGGCGAAGCCCTGTCGGAGGACAGAGGGCGGGGGCTTCTACGCGCGCGCCACAGACGTCGCAGCGCGGCCGCAGTCAACGCAGCAGCGCGCGCGCTAGGTTGCGCGGGCCGGCGGCAAGGCGGGCCCGACGTGGAGCGCGTCGCAGCCCCGACCGACCAGGTTAGCGCGATCGCGGAGCCCATTGCGGCGGGCGCCCTCGACGTACACCGCGATGGCGAGGGCCGCCCGCCAGCGCTCTTCGGGCGAACGCGCGCGCGCGGCAAGACAGAACATGGAGCGAGAAGGGGGCTCGACCCCCGCGAGGTAGGAAGGCGAGAGACCCGGGGCACGTCGACCAGTTCATGCAATGGCCCGACGCCATCGACAGCCACGCGCGGGAGACCGACGCAATCACGCACGTCCACGAAATGAATCAACAAGGGGGGGGGTGGGGGGGGGGGCAGCGGCGCGGAAGCAATGCGTCGCTGCGCCCGGCTTTGGCGCTACTCAGAGCGAGAGAGGCGCGCCAAAGTCCCGCGCGCACGCTCGCGCAGGTGGGCGACGCCCCGCGGCCCACATCTCAATCGCCGGGCTAGGTCAGCGAGATGTGCCCGCGATCGTGGCGACGGGGGCTTTTCGACGGACCGACGCAATCGTCGACCTCGGCGCACTGCGAAACTGACCACCTACGAGATGGCGCTGGCAAGTGCAGCTTGTCTTAGAGACCAATTGCCGCAGCTCGCAGACGCCGCGGAGGCCGACCGCCCCAGCTTCCCGGACAAAAACGCGCAAGGCGTCGCCCGCGGCGTCGCGGAACGCGACCCCATCCAGGGAATTGGCGGCGATTTAAGGGTTGTGAGCCTTCGGGGTAAAACCGCCCGCGGCAGTTTCAGAACGCGTGTATTTGACCGACTCGGAGGGCAATCCCGTTATAGACATAGACCAGCGGGCGGAGGCCGAGGGGGCCATCTCGCCATTGCGGCGCGCTCCCTCATCAAGAGCCCGCGCGAAGCATGCGACGAACGCAACGAACACGCGAAGGGAGCGATCATCATCGGGACTATGCTGGACACCCCCGCCGTCAAATTCGCGACGAGGATGGAGGTGGGTTCATGTTTCGCACGGGCGCGACGAGGAAGATGAGGAAGGCCCGGCGGCATCCTGGATGACCTAGCAGGGGCAGCGTCGGATGAAGTGACGTTGCTGTTCCTGCATCCGGCAGGGGAGGCTCGCAGGCATCCTGCGTTAAGCCCGAGAGCGCCCCTCCGCGCGCGGCAGCGCGAAGGGCGATTATCCCTGGCGGTGTCGCCGCGAGGATTTCCCGCAGAACCGCCCGGGGAAGGTTGAAGGCATTGGTCGCCGAATTCAGGGGGGCGCCCAAGCTGGGGCCGGCCGCGCCGCTGCGCTGACTTCGGGACCCACGCTGCGATCATTTCTGCAAGCCAGATGAAGATTGAAGGGGGGCGCAGCGGTGATGCTGTTTCTCGACCTCAAGGTCACCTTCTACGGTGCGGTCTCACAGGTGGCATGCAAGACAAGCGCCGAAACGGGCGAGGTCATCGGCATGCCGAGGCTGGAGCGGGGCCCAGAGCGCCGGCGCCAGGCATCACCTGCAAGTTTACGTTCGCCCAGGTCAACAAGGCGATTCGGGGGGGCATGGCCGAGGAGGGCATCGCAAACTAAACAAGTGGCACGCGCGTCGTGGCTCTTGCACCGAAAGAAAGGACAAGGAGGAAAGGGCGCGCTGGCTGCTGGATGGGACGATGGTGGGGGGCGTTCGGGATGTGGGGGCGGTGCTGCGCCAAAATCGAATGGTCGGTGCAGAGGGTGCGCTTTCTGTCTACGTTGCACCTACTAATTCGACATCAACGGTTTTGCAATAAACCCATCAACGGTTTTGCAACAAACCTTCCCGCCAAGTTTATTCATCATATGCCCCTGCAATGGTTCATTTCATATTGAAGGAAGTTCCCCGTTGGAAAACAATTGTGTGTGAAACCCTGAACTGCGCAAGAACACCATTCCTCGGGCTTCAACGCCGCGAATCACCGTTACTGTTACGTCTGGGCGATCCTGAATCGTGCCAAGACGCATTCCTGGATTCAACACCGCAAACCAGCGTAACTGTTGCGCCCTGGCAGTCCGACATCGTGCCGAAAAACCGTTTCCCGTACGCTAGCCACGGGCATCTTTATAACGGTTGGAAGCGCTTAAAGCGAATGCGCGTGGCGCTAAAGAGAGAGACGCCGTTTGAAAAGGAACCGCCCCCCATCCGTGAAACGCTTGCAAATTGTTTCGGTCGAGTGGGCGCGGCGTTCCGGCGAGACGTACATGTTGAAATCGGCCTGTCTTCCACCCGTGGAAGTCGTGCAAATGTTTGAGTTTGAGGCGGATGTGCGCGGTGCGAAGGAGAGGGCCGCATTTTGAAAACGACGCGCATTCCATCCGTGAAGGTTTTGATATGATTTCAGGCGGGGGTGCGCGGCAAAACGCGACAGCCACATTTTGAACACGACTTGCCTTCCATTCGTAAAATTGTTGCACATGTTGCCAGGCCAAACTCCCAGTCCACCCTTTCGACCGGCTCTCGGGTGCGACAGGGAACAATTTTTGTATAGGAGGAGGAGGAGGAGGAGGAGGAGGAGGAGGAGGAGGAGGAGGAGGAACACCAGGACGAGGAGGAGGAGGAGGAAGAGGAGGAGGAGGAGGAGGAGGAGCAGCAGGAAGGAGGAGGAGGAGGAGGAGGAGGAGGTGGAGGTGGAGGAGGAGGAGGAGACGAAGGAGGGAGGATAATTGGAGACGAGGAGAACGAGCAGGAGGAGGAGGAGGAGGAGGAGGAGCAGGAGGAGCAGGAGGACGAGGAGGAGGAGCTGGAGGACGAGGCGGTGGCTTCACCCCCGGGTTACCGATCGCAGGGTATGTGCGAGAAGACGCCTGCCTCAGACGGCCCGCCCCTTTGCCCCTGCCTGGCCGAGGAGCCGTGGGGCGGGTTCGCCACCAAGTTCCTGTGCTACGAGCGGGCGCTGCAGGCGTGATTTGGTCATCCCCGCACCTCGGATGGCTTGACGTCTCAATCCCGGCGGTGTCCCTCCAAAGTCTTGACGTTTCGCGGATCCCTTCCAGCCCATCCAGGACCAATTCCAAAGCGAGTTGTTGTGCGAGCCTCGTAGAGGCGCCCTGGAGCCATCGCGGGGACAACGGGGAGGGGGATCATGAGTCGGAGGACGCATTGTAGGAGGAGGAGGAGGAGAAGGAGAAGGAGGAGGATGCCGCAGAGGAGGGGGAGGAGGAGGAGAAGGAAGAGGAGGATGCCGCAAAGGAGGAGGAGGCGGAGGAGGAGGACCAGTACAAACCCACACCGCATCAAGGCTATTGCAAACCCCCTCTCTCCAAGATCCCTCTTCACTCGGCCCTATAAGCATGAATGTCAATTGAGGGGCATGCCCCACTGGGAAAAATAATATGAGAATCAGCCACCGCGCCACTACAATATTCCTGGGATTTCAGCGTCGCTAGTCCACGTGACTGCTGCTTCGTGACAGTCCTGAACCCTGACAGAACACCAGCCTTGTGCTTTCATCACTGCGAATCAACGTGATTGTTGTGCCCCGACAGTCTTGAAACTTGCCAGAACACCAGTCTTGCGACTTCGGCCGTGCGAATCCGTAAAAGTGCGGCAGCATGTCCAAACAAATCCGCACGGCACCGAGGCGAAGACCACAGTGTGAACAGGAATCGCCGCTCATGTTTCAAAGTGTGGCAACTTTTCAAGACGAATGCGCGCGGCGCCAAGGCGACAGCCACATTTTTGAAAAAGAAACCGCCTTTCATGTTTGAAACGGTTGCGAAGGCATTGGGCGTTAGCCCGAACGCCCAGCGCGCAGCACGCGGTCACCCGAGCGGCGGGCGCGCACGATCACGGATACGGACAGGCAGCAGTGCTTTCGGTCTCTGGCTTGGCACAGGCGAGCGAGACGGACAAGAGCTTCCTCGAGATTTTTTTGTCATTGGCCATGGCGAGCGTGATGTTCATAAACACCACGCGAGCATGGCCCCGAAGGGGTGGCAGTATGATGGTAGTGCTTAGCCATTCGCGTGCTGCTCTTCGTTGAAGTGCCATGTATGGATCCCCGACACGGCTTGGAAGCAGCGCAGGTATTGCAAGGCCACATTCAAAAGGGCGCGGCTGGCCAAGGGCCAGCGGGACAGCAACCAACACTGCCGCGACAACAGCTGCGACAGCGGCTACAAAACGAAACCGCGAGGTGACCAGAAGGCGGATAACGAGGAAGTGTCTAAGGCACTGGTCCTGATCGCGAATGAGAGAGGCGGCATGGACCATGTAGGTGGGGGCACATCTAGGCAGCCAGCTCAAGGGCTTCGCGGCAAGGATCGAGGCGCAGGCCGACCCTCCGAAGGTGAAGACTCGACAAGAGGATCTGGCTGAAGTTGCGGAGGCACTGGGGATCGCCAACAAGCAGTGCACGGTGGTGGCCGCGCAAGTGGAGAAGCAAACCGCGATGCTGCAGGAACGGGAGGAGTCGGCGAAGCAAGAAGCGGTGTGCGAGAACATCGAAGGCGAAGGCAGGGCCCAATTGCAGAGCTTCAGGGAGCAGCTGTTCACCGTGACCCCAGAGCTGCTGGCGCTGGACGGAGTCATTGACCTGGAGAAGGTATTGGAACTTGATGACGGCGTGGTGGACGAGGCAGCCTAGATGGTGGTCGCGGAGGCCAAGTTAAAGGTGGCGAGGGACTTGCCAGAGGGGGCGAAGAGTTACACCACCCAGCTCCAGGAGCACACCTGCAAGGCGAAGGCGTCAGCGGCGAAGGGCAAGGGGGCCATCAGGCAGGATGCCGAGAAAAGGGGGGCCGACGCGAACTAGGCAGAGGCGGCAGCTGTGCCGCCATCCGCGGCGGCAGCGCCAGCGTCGGCGGCAGTCCGCTCGAGCGGGGGCCAGGCCAGCGACCGGATGGCAGCCGACGACGAAGGCAAGGGCGTGGACATGGCGCAGGGGGCGCCCCAGGAGGCCAGGGCGAAGGTGGCTTGAGAGGCTGCCCCGTGCAAGGCCTCGGCCTGGCGGTCGCCGCCTGACGCCCGACGCATAGTGAACTCCGACGCGGGCGTCAGGGCCACCTTCGTTGGCGACGTCGCCGCGCGGGGGCCCGCTGCGGAGTCGCGGCTTGCCGGGGGCGAACCTTGGGATCGACGGCAGGAACCGCAGCGGGCAAGGTTTCGATGCTCGCGTGCTGCAGGAGGCGCATCTGCGCCTGCAGGTGCTTGAGGACAAGGACGCGATGCCCCGCGAGCGGGTTGCCAAGGCGCGCTCCGCGGCGGGCCAGCAGTCCGTTAAGTCAGGGGGGGGGGGGGGGGGGGGGGGGCTCGAAGGGCGGTGGGGATGTCGCGGCGGCGGTGCGTTTCAGGGCCGCGCGCGCCAGGGAGATGGCAGCGCGCGGCGGGGTCTTGGGGGCCGCGGCGAGCTGCCGCGCCCATCGCCGCGCGCAGCGTGAATCAGGCGAGCTGGAGCTGCTGCAGATGGAGGGATGGGCGGCGATGACGCGGCACCTCTAGGGTTGCCCCCTCGTCTTCATGCCCCCCCCACTTGGGGCGTGACCAGCCGCCGAAGGAGGGGGCTAACGCGTGGGGGGCGGCGGAGAAAGCGAAGTTCGCAAAGACATTGCGCGCGCCGTCGATCGTCGCGGGGGGCTTCAATGCCCGCCCGCCCAGGTTCGCCAGCGCGGGCTATTGCGACCTACTCGGCGACGCGCGCGTTCGTGCGCCGCCTGGGAACCTGTCGATTTGCTGCGGGGCAGACACAGACCTTCTCTCATCGACATCGTGCTCGCGAGCCCCGAGGCCCGCGGGCGCGCCGTCGACCTCGGGCCCGTCGCCGACGTCGCCCAGCGGCCGCGCGTCGGCCGGCAGCCGAGCATCGCGGCGGATATCAGGCGCAACGCCACCTGGGAGCTCGCGCTGCCGACGGCGCTTTGCCGCCCGAAGCTGGACGGCGGGGGGGGGGGCGGGGGGGCGAGCTTAGGCAGCGGGGCCCAGATGCGCAAGCGACAGAGGGGGCAAGGAGGAGCCGAGCGCGAATCGCAGGCGCCACTGCGGCAGCAACGACCATATCTACAGAGTGACCGCGAGGAGATCGCCAGCGCGCGCTGGGTGGCTATATCGCGCCAGTCGGCTGGACACTTCCCCCATTGATGCCTGGCGGAAAGACCGGCGTCGACGCTCCCGGGGGCCGGGGCGCGCGGCATGGCCCTCGTTGCAGGCCGTGACCTCGGGGCAGGAGCGCAGCGGGGCAGGGGGGCCAGATTGGGCGCGCCGCGACGGCAGCTGGGCGCGGCGAGAACAGCGAGGGCGCCCTGTTGACCGACGCCGACATGGACAACCCCGAGGGGGGAGTGATCGACGCGCGCGGGGAGGATTGGACGTTCCACCACGGGCGCCAGGAAGAGCTACCGCCCGAGCCCCAAGCCGCGGGATACGCAATGACAAGGGGCGTTGGAGCGGGCAACCTTGGGCCAGCGTCCACGGCGACCTCTCCAGACGCTTCGGCGGCAGGCCATGACTTGGGGTCTCGGACCGATGGGGCTGAATCATGGCAGACGACAGCGAGCTGGAGCCAGAGCCAGCCAGCCACGACAGAGGCGACGCGAAGGCCGCAGTCGACGCCGCCGGCATGAGCGACACCTGGAAGGAGATATTCGAAGGAACACTAGCCGCGACCTCCCGGGCCCACCGACTACATCGCGGACTCGGCGGCCTACATCGCGATTAAAATGGAGGCCACGCCGTCGGGGAAACAGCGCAGGCGCATGGCCAGCGCGATGGGGGGCATATACTGCCAGCCGCGCGACATCCCGGAGAGCGACCAGCAGAGGCACGCGGGCAGAGGGGGGGGGGTCTGCCGCCCAGGAAGCGCGCGCGGCATGAATCGGGCCAAAGGCGAGTCAGCTTCAGCACGAAGCAGACTACAGCGCACGACGCGCGAGCCAGGCTGGCCAGAAAGCATGGGGCCCCATGGCAGCGCGAGCAGTTGGCGGCAAGTTGCAGGAGGGGCGCGCCCGAGGGGGCGCGGCCAGTTGGCAGGCAAGCTTCGAGAACAGCCCGGCTGCGCAGGAACATCCAGGGCTTAAGAATCAGAGAAACCGAGAACGTAGACATAGACGTGCTAGATTGCATGGTGAAGCAGGCTAAGGTGGATAGCCAAATCTCGTTGAAGGCGGTCCTGCGTCGCGGTGCTCGGGCGCGCGGCGCAGGCTGCCGGCGCGGAGACCGGCTCGCCAGGGGCGCTGCGCAATGTCACCATGCCAAGGAGGAGACGCGGGGTCGGGCGCATGAGGAAAGGGGCTGAGGCGACCAGCCCGAAATATAGCATTGACATGGTTGCGATGGACTTTGAGGAGGCGTGGAAGGACGCGAGGGATCGATGTTCTTCGCCAGCTTCGAGAGCTAGCTGCCGACGCGCCGGCGCCGATGTGGGCGCCATGAGGACTTCGACAGCGCAGTGAAAGGGCGCCCCCAACAAGGGCAAACACACAGACGCGATGAACATGAGCGACGTCAGGCGACTGCGTCGAGGAGGCAGGCGGGGCCATCGTGGACGCGCGCAACAGCTGCGAGGAGAAAAGGCACGACCAAGGCAGACCTTGCAGGCGCTGACTATGCGACAGCCGAAGGACGCGGAGAAGCTGGGCGACGCGGCCCTGGCGGGAGGGGGGGGCCTCGCCCCGGCGCCGCTCGCGCATTTCGCGAGAGCGCGGGAGCTGCTCGACGCGGCGGTGGCATGAGGAAGACTTCGACGCAGCGGTGGCGCGCAACTCCTGCTACGGCGAGGGCGCTCGAAGACGAGACGTCACAGGGGTCGGGGGTCCACTCGGCCACTGCCCTGGTGAACGCAAAGTTCTCGACTCGCTGGCCATTGAGGAGGCGGCGCCTAGGGCGACCGATTGCGGCCCCCCGCCCAGAGTGCTGGCCGCGGCGATGCTCTCGCACCTGGCTCCCAGGGGGGTCGAGGAGGCGGCGGCGCGCAGCTCGCCCATCCACGCCGCGGAGAGCTCGCCCGCATGGCCGAGGCACAGCGGTAATTTCGCGAGAACGCTGATCTACCACATGGCCAGGGCCATGAGCAGCAAGGCGCCCATGATCCGACCGAGGACCTGGTTCGACGACATCGGGTTCATTGCTGTGGACAGCGTGACACAAGTACAGGAGACCATCGTCGAAGCTGCGGTCGAGCTGGCGATGAAGTTGGAGCAGGAGGGCCTCGCGATCGCGGGCAAGTCTGTCCTGCGACTGCAGCTTGACGAAGAGCGTGGCCAGGGCGATGGATGGGCCTGGGGTGGTCGGCGGTCACCAGCCGGCGACCGATGGGCACGACGTTCGGTGCGACGGCGGGGGCAGGACTTGCGCGAGAAGGGCAGCGCATGCAAGGAGGAAGAAGGGCTCAAGGAGGTTTGCTGCGATCACCTAGAGGCCGAAGTTGACGAAGTCGAGAGAAGCCGGTCATAGCGCAAGCGCCGACGGCGCAAGCGGGCAACGGACCCAGGGCGCCTGGGGCCGCGCCGACGGACCGACGGAGCTGACGGAAATGCAGAGGAGGTGCGCAAAGGGGGTTCTGCAGGGCCTGGCCTGGATGGCGCTCAACCACGCTGATCGACTTCGACGGAGTAGACCTTGGCGCCAGCCCCAAGGACAAGTCCCAGGCACGGTTCGACCCATGAGCGGCGAGAGACGACGCGCGCGGGGGCGCGCGCCGCGCATGGCCGCGCATCCGAGACTGGCTTCTACAGGCCGCGCCCACAACCAGATGGCGCCAGAGGACGGGAGTGATAGCTTCCCTTATCTTGCAGCTCAAGGAGTTCGGCTGGGACGTGCCAGCGGCAGACTTCTGGCCGGGCGCGGGCGGAGGGGGCTGGCGACCCCGCCCCGGCGACGGCAACGACGAGCCCGCCGACCTGCTGGATGCGATTGCAGGGGACATTGTGAGGGAAGCGCGGGAAAGAGCTAGCCTGCACCACAACTGAGCAGGACTACAGCACGGGGCGGACGCGCACGACCTGAACATGCACTTGACGGGGGCCCCACTGCTTCCGCATCGCCTAGGAGCAGTGCAGCTGCAGAAGCGACCGCGGCGCGTGCAAGGGGACAGGGGATCGAATGTAGAGAGCCGAGACAGGCAGCGAATATTCGGCAGTGTTCTGGCGAAGTGGGATTCCACCAGTGGGGATGTTACCAGGGGCCTGCACCACGGAGTATACGGCCAACAGGAATGGCACATCGGAACACATCGACAACGAGCCCAACGTCCAGAGACTCAACGCGGAAGGCGACCAGGATCTGATCATCTGTGGAGACGGCAGCAGAGGAACGCGAGGCGACGAAGCCACGTGCAGAAGATGTGGTTGGGGCCGGGTGCGGATGGAACGGGTCGACGACCAGTGGAGGCCTGCCGCCAAGTGCTCAGGGCGATTGCCAGGAGCGCGGCAACCCAAAGATAGGGCAGAGATCGCTGCGTTCCTCGAAAGCGCGGGGTCGACCACGGGCGACGTCACCGTGTGCGCCAGCTTTGGGACCTTCTGCAACGGTTGCAACAACAGCAGGTAACCCAAGCAGTGCTACACGAAGGGCCGTGGTGACCTTCGGAAAAGGATCAGAAGGGCTATGGCCGACAGAGGCGACGCATCCGTCATAGTGCTGCGCATCGAGAGCCACATGAGCCTAGAACATGCGAGGGAAGCAGGCGACGAAGACAATAACAATATGGAGCGAACCCGAGGACAACTTCGAGGACCTGGTCAAGCACGCGCCGAACAACCTGGCCAAGAAGGGCAAGTTGCGATCGCGCCAGAGATGCCGCCAAACGACCACGGCAAGGTAGAGAACAAAGACGGTAATATGGTGGTTGCAAGAATGCAGGGATGATCCGACCATGAGGAGCGCGAAGCCCAACAATTATACGGAGGCAACAGAAGGCACCATACGCTTGGTGCCGAAGGAGAAGATGCCGCATCCTTCCACCAAATCTATTGGAGCAAATACGAGGCGAACCACTTTTGCTGGACGTGCGGCGCGACGGCGACAAAACACCTCAGCAGGAAAATGGTGGAGTTTTGTTTTGGCAGTCCGACTGGATAGGCGATGCTGCACGCGTTCGGAGCCAGGCTGAAGAAGATGGATAAGGCGCCAGGCGAGAAGAGGAGGTACACCAAAAAGCGGAGGCCGAGGACCAGACATGGGCCACATTAGCCAACGAGTTGGAAAATGCCTTCGACAGGGCCGAGGACTTCGAGCGCCGCGCCAAGGTCTTCGATTGAACGGCATGGCTGGCACCTCCTGCCGCTCGCCTCACGCAAACACTCGGCGGACCGTGAACAAAACTTCGGACACATCGATAAACCGCTACAACTTTGCAGCTTCGGATTCATACATGGAGGGGGGAAGTCTTAGGCGAAACACTCGGCGGGCCCCACGGACACGTCCGGGGGTGCGACGGGCAGGGGTTATGTATGAGGTAAAGGGTTGGATCAGGAGGCAGAGGAGGAGGAAGAGGAGGAGGAAGGGTTGGAGGATCAAGGGGAGGAGGACAAGGAGGAGGAGGAGGAGGAAGAGGAGGAGGAGGAGGAAGAGGAGGAGGGGGAGGAGGAGGAAGCGCGGGAGCAGGAGCAGAAGGAGGCGCAAAAGCAGGAGGGGGAGGAGGAGAAACGAGACCCAGCCGAGGCGGGCGCCAGCGTGCCTGCGCAGTCCCGGGGCCCGCTGTGGGCCCCCAGAGGCAGGAGCTGGCCAGACGTCCCCCGGCTTTCCCCGACAGGCCCTGGTCGGCGCCGACATCGCGCCGGACGACGTGGCCGCGGGCTCGGGCCCTCTGGCCGGGCCGGTCGACCGACGGGGCGCCCCGAGGGCGATGCGGAGGGAGCATCCGTGAGCGTTCGGGGCTCTTCGCGGCTCGAGGATATTTTCCTCCTCCTCGGCATCATTCTTCCCACAGGCTTGCAGAATCACCAGAGAAGAGTGGGAATGTTTTGATATTTTCCCCCAGCCCAGGGCTGATTTTCCTTGGAACTGATTGCGGGACTGAATGGGAAGAGAGAGGGAGAGAGAGATCTTTCTTTCCATCTGCCTCGGTTTGCAGAGGGTTTCGAGAAGCGTCCATACTCCGTTTTCTGGCTTCCCGGTCTTGCCCTCCTCCCTCCTATCACTTCTTTCTTACCCTAGATGTTGTTGTTTGTGCTGGTTGTTTTGGTTATTTGTTTAACGGGGAGGCCGGAAACACATACGGGGCAGGTTCAGTTGTGTTGCGTGTGTGGGTTTCCGTCAGTATTCATTCCGTCGGGCAGCGCCAAAATTGACAAAAGGTATTGCAGACCCTTTGAGAAACTAGTTATCAGCGTTTCATTCCCAGATTTGCGGTTGTCGTTGGATTTTGTTTCTCCTGCAGCAGACGTCGCTGGACCGAGCGGCGTGTTTGATTTACCATTGGGTCTTTGACTTTTGTGCTCGGGGCATGGATTCCTTCTTTCCCCACAGGTCCATGCGAGCACGATTTGCCCAAGTAACAGTTCTGTCCGCAGCGACTCCCGCCTTTCGTGTGTCCAGCCTCCGCGCAGTCCATCCGCGAGTCGCACGAGAACTAGACCCACACTCGGTGCAGCAAGCGTGCTGTAACATTTGACAGGGCTGCCCAGTGCAACTCGTTCAATAATGGGCAGTTGGAGCTGTTCCTGGTCAAGCGCAATCAGCTTTATATGCTCGGAACGGACCTGTCCGGCTCTAGTTCGACTCCAGTTCGACCCAGGTTCGACGCATGTTCGACTCATGTTTGACCCGGGTCGACGGAGGCTCGACGCAGCTTCGACGCACGAGTGGAGCGAGTGGTTGCAGGAAGGTCCCCAGCATGAGCAGCTAACAAACTCATCTTCGAGCCGAGGTTCGAGTGTCGATCGTCGAGGGATCGAGGAAGGGATCGAGCGGTCCGAGGGCCTCGCAGGTCTTTCCCAGCCTTTCTTGTTCGGTCCGTGGAGGCCTCTTCCGATCTCGGCCTGGGCTCTTTTCGAGCCCGAGGCAGTCATAATTCTGGGGACACGTGGGACTCTTGTGCGCCGGATCCCAGGTTTGCCGGCGCTTTTTGACGGGTCCCGGATTTGGGCGGTCCAGTCTTCGTGGGATGTCTGCAGCGGGAGTTCACGTCAAATCTCATATTGGGTCTGGTCATTTTCATGATGGCCTCGTCAGGTCAACCCAAGTCCCCCGACCGCGACTTTTGCGTCTCCCCGATGATTGAATCCAGGAACTGCCCCTGGCCACTGGATCTGGGAAGTGCCCCTAGCCCGCAGCTTGAAAACAAAAGCATCGGCCCGATGAGAGCTCAGGCAGGCGCGCGGAGCGGCCCTTGCACCAAGCATTGGCGCGGCCCTCCCTCCACACATCCAGGATCGGGGGGTGGGAGGAGGACAGTTTGAGGGCTTCTGGACATTCTTGGCCTGTACTCTTCATCGGCCAGAAGGGGGAGGCGGGGGGTCGAAAGATGCAGGGATCGGGGAGCGCATGGACACTATCGGAGGAAGGGCGACATGGAGGGGAGATGGAGAGAGGAGGGGTAGGAATATGAGCTGGAGGAGGAGGAGGAGGAGAAGGAGGAGGAGGAGGAACTGAGGGGAAGAGGAGGAGGAGGAGGAGGAGAAGGAGGAGGATAATTTGGAGAAGGGGGAGTTGGAGGCAGCACCAGCGCTGGCGGCAGCTTGGTGACCACGATACCGACGACGGCGACGGCTGCTGTTTCCCGCCCCCCACGCTTCGCCGCCCACGCCTCCGCACCCCCGCCGCCCTGGCCTCCGCCGCCCTGCCCCAGCGGACGCGTCTCGACGCCCCCGCTTCGACCCCCGCCTGCCGCCGGCTGCTGTGCTCGACGCCCCCCTGTGACGCCTCCCGACGGCCCGACCCCCGCTCTTCTCGTCCTCCTCCTCCTCCTCCTCCTCCTCCTCCTCCTCCTCCTCCTCCTCCTCCCTCTCTCGCTCCTTTGACCGGCCGCCCCTGCTTGTATTTTCCTGCCTCTCGGTTGCCGGGCAGCACAGAGTGTCCAGAGCCAGCAGCGCGACGCGCAAGTAGGAGGGAGGGCCCCCAAGAGAGGTCCGCGCGGGCCTCCGTCTGACAAGAGGGTCATCAGGACTTCCTCGCCCCCTGCCGCTGCTGCTGGCCCGCCTCTGTCCCTTTTTTCTCCTTGGGGCGGAGGAGGAGGAGGAGGATGAGGAGGAGGAAAGAGGCAGGGATTGGGGTAGGAGGGAGGATGATAGGGAAAACGGGGGAGGGGGAATGCGAGGCCAAGGAAGGGGAGGAGTAGGAGGAGGAGGAATAATGATGATAAGGAGGAGTTGTTTCATGGTCCAAAGGTTTTTAAGGGGTTCTATGATACGCTCTCCAAGCAGTGGTAGAGCGTCCTGGCTCGAAATTGGCCCACTGAATAATGTTCTTAGACCCCTTGGTAATTTGCGCGAATTGTTTTTCGAACGTGTCTGGCTGATCCGTTCTGTTTTAACACGTCTCCCTTATGTTCTAAGAACTTCGTTCGTGCATCTAGAGCATTATTTTGTTCTAAGAACATGTCGCGGTAGGCCTATGGGAATGCTGGGACGATCTGCCCCTGCTCAAGCACTGGGACGTGGATGAGGACGGAGAGGGATGTTGGTGGGCTGCAGCTGTGTTCTCCCAAGCCCTCCCTCGTGCTTTGGCTCCTCCGGTTCCCGGCAAGCGTTGCGGCCATGGGGGGCCCTGCCGAGGCCCCCCCCCCCTGCCGAGGTCTGGTCCCCGAGCCCCCCCCCTCCCCGAGAGCCGCCAGGGCCCCCTGCGGCCCTCGGAACCGCGCCCCCAGGCCCTCCCATGTCCAGGAGGGGAAGAGACACACACACACACACACACAGACACAATTAATCGTCGACTCCCAGGAAAGCATGGAAAAATATAGGAAGTGGGGAGAACAACGAAAATCCAGAAGATCTGGGAAAATATGGGGATTCCTGCTGTTTGCGAGTATGTATGTGTGTGTCCTTGGGCCCCTTCACATGGCTGGGGCCCGCCGGGAGGCCCGAAGCCCGCTTCCCATTTCAACCATTTCGATGTTTAGGGGTAGCTTGTTCAATGACGGGAGCGCCAGTGTGCATGTGGTTCGCGAGTTTGGCCGTGCGGGCTGGTGTTTCGCGTCCGTTGACGAACCAGTTGAATTGATGGGCATGGTGCAAGGGCTTGTTCCGCCGCAGTCCCCCCAGACGGCCCCAGCGGGGGAGTTCGCGGCGTTCTGCCAACCTGTGCTTTTCGCTTCCTCTGAATCTGATTGTTTCACGGACGCTCAACTGTTCATGGATCACTTTGCCCTCCCTCGCTTGCACCAGTCACCATTTGTCGCGCAAGCCAGGTTATGTATTCGTTGTTTCTATTTGTTTGCTAAAAGACCTGTGGAACGTGCGCAAGCTTTCCAAAGTCAAAGCCCGCGGATCTCTTGACGAGTGGGTGGATCAACATGGGTGCTAAGAAGGATACGGTTGGGGAGGGATTTTGTGGTCACCCTCGCCCTTTCTGCCGAAGTTTGTTCCGTTTGGATGCAGAATTCAAGCTAGCCAAAGCCGTCGGCAAGCTTGGAGCTCGCTTTCTTCCGTCCTGACCACGTTTGGACTTGGATGGAGCCGAATCCAACAGACCCCCGCCAGCTCCCATGCAAGTCCGTGTCAAGTGTCAGTGGGCCATCATCCTGCTGCCAGGGATCGCCTGCTCCCCTGGCTTCTGGAAATGCATTCCGTGTGGGAGAGTTCGCCGTTCCCCCATTTCGGGCCTCGTCCCCATCCTTCCCTGTCTGTCGCCCGTGTCCTTCCCTCTCCCCCGCTGTGCTTGCGGGGAAGGGGCATCTCAGTATCAGTCTTTTGTCTCCTGACAATGCGGAGCTTGTTGTCTGCCTAGTCGGTTACTGCTACTATTCTCACAGCAGGGTGGCTGGTTTAGGTGAACGTTGTCTCGGTCCGACCATGGCCACCAGGTATGGGAATTGGAGTCCGATCTGCAAAGGACGCCACCCCGACCGCCCAGGGATCACCGTCGAGCGTGGGCCTTGTCGCGTTTCAATGCAGCTGCCACCGCCCCGTTTGTCTTGGAGGAGGAGGCCACCGTCGTCGCTGAGTCTGGTCGTGGAGGAGGTACTTTTTCCGCAAGCGCTCCCCCTGGGAACGCACCAGACTCTCAGCCTGGAGTGCCTGTTCTTGCAGCAGCGGCCGCCTCCTCCCTCGACGATGAATTCGAAGGCGACGAGGTGGCAGCGTGCGCCCTTGTCTCTGATGGCCCCGCGTGCCATTTCCCAGCCGCATCATGTGCGCGCGTTGGCTCGTCCTCTCGTGAGGCGGGATCTTCTGGGGTTGCTGCCGCAGCCCCCAAGTGTGGCTGGTGCATTTTGTGCACCTCGGGCCCCTTTTCCCGCAGCCTCCTCTTCTTCCTCCGCCTCTGTGAGCATGCCTGCGATTCAGGCGGTCTGGGACCGTCTCTTTGCGGATGCTGCTTCGTTTGGGGAAGAGGAGATCAGATCCGATTGATTTTCGTCGGGGTCCGATTCGCTGGCAGACCCTCATCATGTTGATGGCAACAGAAAACGATACTGCATTGACGCGCAAATCAAACCAAGTTTCGAATTGCGAACTTTTCCTTGTAGTTCATCCACGAGGCTGGGTTGCCATCGCAGTTTGGGATGTAGCTGTCCTCGCGCTCCAGGTTCGGGTCCACTGCTGCCAGGCCGCCGACGATGAGACACAGAACTACCGCGAGGAAGAGGACGAGCATGTAGTAGCTGAGCAGGCTGGTGTAGAAGTCTTTCTCTGCGGTGGCCGCGCTGCGGCCAAGGGTCGCCGGCGCCGCCGGCGCAACCGCGGACTGAAACCGCTCTGCTGCCAATGTCGTAGCGTTATCGCTGATATCGATATGGATGGGATGATGTTGCTGGTTGCGTAGCTAAAACTAGGACAAAAGCGCCTGAGCCAACATAATTGCAGACATGTGATCCTAGTGTGCTCCAGAAGAGCTCTTCAGGGGCACGTTAACGTGGTTGCTGCAAAGCGTGTTGCTCGCACAATTGATCACGCACACTGGTCTCGTCATGATTCGCGCCCATGCCGCCGCGAATCGTGACGTGACAACAGGGGGGCTGGGGCCAGTCACGGGTGCTATCGCGAATGATACTCGAATGGGTTCCAGCTGAGGTCATACTGACAGACGCCTGGGACACCGTCATCCTGGGAGGCGTGGACGAGCTCCTGGCGAAGGTCGCCGCGGTGCCCGCCGGGACCCTCCTGTGCGGCTCGGAGCGCGTCTGCGGCCCGAACCATTTCTTGGTGGGCAGGATTGAGGCCGCCGCAGGGGAATTTTTCACGAGGGGGGGGGGGGGGCGGAGGAGGAGGAGGAGGAGGAGGAAAAGAAGGACCAGGAGGAGGAAGAGGAGAAGGAGGGGGAAGGGGAGTAGGAGGAGGAAGAGGAGGAGAAGGGGAGGTGGGAGGAGGTGGAGGAGGAGGAGGAGGAGAAGGAAGAGCAGGGGGAGGGGGTGGAGGAGGAGGAGGAGGAGGAGGAGGAGGAGGAGCAGGAGGAGGAGGAGGAGGAAGAGAGGATGGAGAAGAGGATGGAGGAGGAGAGGAGTTGAAGGAGGAGATTCTGGGGAGGTGATCGAGGGGATTAAGGAGCTGGGGGGGGGGAGGGGGATGAGGAGCAGGAGGAGGAGGACGACGACGACGACGAGGATGCAAGCCTCCCAAATGAGGGCAGAGCAGGTGGGATCGAATGGTCACGCCCCATGGCCAATGCATCGCCAACAAGGCGCGATTTGAAGCCCTTCCTTCTCCATCTCGCCAATGCCGAGGCGGCGGGATCCTCCGACCCCATATTCTCCGGTCCCATTTGGAGTCCTCCACAGGCAGGTCTCGACCTAACTTGTGTTTTGGTGATTTCGCCGACCGTTTTCGTTTAGACTTCGTTTTGCAGCGATGGCGGAACGAAAACCAAGCCAGGGAACGAAAACCAAACGAAAACGAAGAAGGAAGGGGAGGAACAGGAGCTCCGCCACCTCTGGGCCTTTGAGGGGCACCCTCGTTGTTATGGGACGCGCCAGAACGGGATAGGGACATGCCGAAAAAAAACATTGCAGGGAGAACACTGCGGAAAAACGGCAGCGAAGACAGGCATCCTGTTTGCAGCGGAAGCGTCAGGGCTCCAGAAAGCAGGACTGCCAACCAGGGCTCCACAACTTCCAGCGCGAGCAGCCAGAGAGCGGAACGTGCTTCGACTCACGGTTGCAGTTCTCTCTGGTGCGCCAACGTCAGGGTTCATCAGAGGCCCCGCTCATGGGGCCTGAAAAGGGGGCGTGGAATTATCAAACGCAGGGGGGCCGGAAGGTTTGGGGGATCCGGGGGTCCGAGGGGCGTTCGGAGTGTTCATTGAAGCAGTTTTGACATGAAACGAACAAATATGCACCAGGGGGCAACCAACTGGGGCTGAAAATTGGTATAGACGTGGCATTTGGAAACGGTAAGCAACCGCGGCGACCCCAGCGCGGGCGGTTCAAGGTTGACTGCCGCCAGTAGCCCAGAATCTGCCGACATCGAGTGATTTGCGTCGCCGGAAAGTCGCGATCGTTCAGGGTTGGGATCCACGACTTCATCCCAACATTCGGATCGGACGCAAGGGAGGGTCTGGTAATCTGGTTTCGGCGCAGCCGCCAGGCGCATTCTTCGATACATTGGCGCCTCCAGCGTCAGAAGGCGACGGGACCAGTCTACGTGAGCTGATTCGCTAATCCAACCCTTGCCTACCCACCCCTTTTATCCGACTCGAGACACGAACTGGGAAAGTGCCCCACTGTCTCCAGGGCCCCTGAGGTCTGGCCAGGCTGTCTCGGAGGGACAGCCTTCCACACGCACGTTCCGCTCGAGCTTCCAGCGAGGCAGGACTCCAGATGGCGTGGCCCCGTTTGCTCGGTCTCGGCGTGGGGGGAGAAGCAGGAGGAGGAGGAGGAGGAGGAGGAGGAGACACAGCCACAGTGAAAGTGCTGGCCAAAATGCCTGCCGAAGGGAGGGAGGGGAGGGCAGGGAGGGGACTGGGGATGTAAAACGCCACTGCGTCTTCATGCGAAGTGGAATCGTTCCTTGGTCGCGCGGCCGCTAGCCTGTTATAGCGCGCCTGCCGCGCGAGAGCGGAGTTGAGAAGCGTGCCAACGAAAACAACGACAACAACGATCACAACGATCACAATAGTACAGATCGCAACGGTAATGATTGTCGTTCTCGTTCTTATCGGTGTTACTGGTGTCTTCTGAGATGCCCTTGGTCATGACGCCTGGCGCACCCCTGCTGCGTCGCAGTGGCATCGTGGCAGCTTCGCCGCGAGCATGGGTGATGCCAGCGCGTCGGCCCCTCTCGGGTTGGTGGATAGCCCCTCCTGGTCGAGTCCAAGAGGTTGTACGGCCAAGAACGTTAGCTTAGCGTGTCGCGCCGCCGGTTTTGGTCCACCACGCATCGGCGCGACATGCGAACCTCGACTACACGTAAGAGTGGCCCTTCGCCGGAGTGACCTGACCTTTGGTGCGGGCTCATCGGGCTCCCCCCGATCGCTGAGCACGATGCCATAGCGGCTGCCTGCGCGCTCGGATTTGGCTACCCTGCGCCCCCTTGGTCCGCGCACTAAAGGTCACTCCTGCCTAGGTTCAGTCCTGCGTGTAACCGATAACCACGTCCACATTTCCAAGCGTCCTGAGCTTTTCCCAGCCCCCCACCTCGCGCTGCGGTGCGCCACGCTAGCAGCTCTTTCAGCACACCCATCACACATTTCGTGGCCCCATAGAAGCTCGACCGAAAGTCCCAGTGGCGCAGTTCGCATGCGTCCCCGCCACCCAATTCGGCACACCCTCACATGTTTCGTGGCCCCATAGGAGCTTGGCTGAAGGTCCCGGTGGCGCAGTTCGCATGCGTCCCCGCCACCCAATTCGGCACACCCTCACGTGTTTCGTGGCCCCATCGGAGCTCCGCTGAAGGCCCCTGTGGCGCAGTTCGCACGTGTCCCCGCCACCCATGTTGGCACCCCTCTCACACGTTTCGTGGCCCCACATGGAGCTCCGCCGAAGGCCTCGCTGGCACATTTTCCATGCGCCCCCGCCACCAATTTCGGCGCATCCCTCACACGGTTCGTGACCCCACATGGAGCTCTACCGAAAGCCCCAGTGACACAGTTCGCATGCGTCCCCGCCACCCATGTCGACACACCCCTCACATGTGTTGTGGCCCCACAAGGAGCTCCGCTGAAGGCCCCAGCGGCATAGTTTACCTGCGTCCCCGCCAACCATTTCGGCACTCACCTCACACGTTTCGTGGCCCCTTAGAGGGCTCCACCGAAGGTCCCAGTGGCATGCGCCCCCGCAACCCATCTCGGCACGCCCCTCACACGGTTCGTGGCCCCATGGAGGTTCCAACGAAGGCCCCAGTGGCGCGTGACGGGGCGTCCTGGGCAGCTTGCGATCCTTGGGAGGAAGATGGCCCTGCCGAGTCCGGGGCAGACACCCTCCCCGAGGACGGGGCTCTTCTTTAGCCGGCTCCTGGTGATGTGACCGCCGCGCCACGTGCCCACATCATCCTTGACCACGCCGCGGGCTTCACCGAGGTTCGGAAGTTTGCTGGGCCAGTCAGCGGGTGGGTGTTCAAGTCCCCGTGGACTCGGGTACTACGTGGATGAGGTGCCTGCCGTGGGCACGGTCGTCGTCCCTGGCGCCACGGAGGATCGTGCCTTCGAGCACCGATCGGGGTCCAGCTGGCCGCGCGCCGATTTGCCTCGCGGATCTGATCCCTGCGGAGGTCGCCCGCGGAACACGCCGCGGAAACGACCGCGCCTGCCCATGCGCGCAGGGACAGCAGCCCCGCGCCCCATCCAGGCGACCCTCGGCGAGTCGAAGATCTGCGCCGACCACCGCAAGTTCGGCTACTGGGCGATTGATATGCTGAACTACAACGCCATGAGCATCGGGCAGTCTCACCTCGAGGACACGACGGCCGATGTTGTTCGTCTTCAGGAGCTTCGCGTTTGCGGGGGCCCCCTCCTGGCTGCTCAGCGCCGGGCTGCCCGCGCCAAGTGGTCGCTGGCCGCTGAACCCGCCGTGCCCACCGAGGCCAGTTCGCTGAGTGCTGGTGTCGGGGTTGCGGTCCGGTCGCACGTGGGACGTGTTGCCGGCTTGGTCTCGCACGACGCCTGCCACTCCCGCGTCATCGTAACGCACATGGGCGCCATTTGCGCTGGTGGCATATATACTTTGTGTCGGCTCATTTCTTGTGCAACGAGGGGGCCTCCCATCGCAACCTCGAGCTGCTCCAGTGCATCGCCCAACACGTGCGGCAGCTCCACGGCCCGTGGATCCTGGCGGCCGATTTCAATTGGCCGCCTAAGGTGCTGGAGAGCACCAGCTGGCTGCGCTTCGCTGGCGGCGCCATCGTTTCGACGGGGCTTGCTACATGTAAGGGTGTTGCAAAGGATGACCATTTCGTTGTCGACGCGCGCCTTCGTGTCGCCATCGTCGGCGTGGCCCTCATCCACGACAGTGGCTCGCGACCCCACTCCGCAGTGCGGGTCTGGGTCAAGGGCCGGCCGAGGCGCGACATGGTCCGCTCCCCAGCGGCGCCGGCCAAGGCCGAGGCTGCTTTCCCCCACGGCTGCCTGCCGCAGGATGCCGACGACGACTGGGACACTATCGCTGATTTGAGCCGTCCCAGCTCCTTCACCGCGGAGTTGCTGGACCACGATTTCGCGACCTGGATGTCCATGGTGAAACGTCAGCTCGCCGAGGTCGCTGGCATGGCCCCGAATGAGCGCGTGAAGTTATGCACGAGGCCCGAGGGCCCGCGATTCGTGGTCCGGAGCGCTCTCGGCCGCCCCGGCTCTGGCTGCAGGCGGCTCTCCGCCATCACAGTGGCGTGGAAGACCGTGGCAGGGTGGCTCACCGACATCGCCCAGCCTGTCGGTGCTGGGGTGTCTGCCCAGGTGGCTGCTCGAGCGCGCCGGGTCCGGTGGTTCTTCTTGGCGCACTCGCGGGAGCACCTTGGCGATGGCGTGCATGACGTTGCTTTTCGCCGCTGGGTGCGCCTGGCCGCCGGCCAGGGCTGGCACGACAGGGTTCGCGTGAACTGGTTGCGAGCTACGACGGACCTCTTTTCGAGGCGCACCGTGGCCTTCGACGTCCAGCAGTCCGACGCTGCGTGGGCGAGCTGGCTGTGCGACGGCCCCTGCAAGAGTCTGGGCAGGCATCACCGCCTGTCGCGAGTCGCTTCGGGCTGGGTCCCGAGCCCCGTCTCGCATCCAGATCCTCACGGCCACTGCATATCTCAGCGGGAGCCCGATGCTGGCGAGGTGTGCAGCTCGGCGTGCCCCCTGTCGCTGCGGGCCGAGGTCGACGCCGACGCGCGAAAGTGGAGCCTCGAATGGGCGTGCGGTGGCCCGCCTGGCCACCTCCCATGGCCAGTCGATTGGGGCGCTCGCACCCCGTTGCCGGACCTCGCCGCCGCTGCTCTCCAGACGGCCGCCCGCGCCTTCCCCGCAGGCACGGGCCCAAGCGCGATGGGGGCCGCCGCTCCACTGGCTTGCTGCCCAGCGTTATTCGGTGGTGGATGCGAGCGCGGCTGGAAGTCGCCCGTATTTTTATGCTGGCCCCCGGAAGGGCGCGGAGGTGGCCGCGTGGAAGCAGGCCGCCAGGGCGGAGTTGGCTCGTTACGCATCTTTCCTGAGCCTCGCCAGTGCGAGGCTTGACGTTGTCAAGGCGTTCGAACGGGTCTCCCACCAGTGGCTGGCGAAGCAGGGCGCACGGTACCGGTGCCCAATGGCCGCCCTCAGGTTCAGCATCGCCGCATACCGTTTCGCCAGATGCATTACCATCGATGGCGTTTGCTCGGTGCTGGTGCTGGCCTCGCGTGGGATCGCGGCAACAGCCGTGCACGCCACCATTGAGATCCGGCTACTATTCATCGAGTGGCTGGACGAGACGGTCCCGCTGCATCGGCAAATCGTGATCACCGTGTACGTTGCCGACACGGCTTTCGAGGCATCTCTCGGAACGGTTGGTCTTCGACACCGTGGTCGGCGATGTGTGACACTTCGCCGAGAGCCTCGTGGAGGTCGGCATGGAGTTTAGCCCCACAAAGAACATGGCCCTCGCTTCTCGCGGGGAGTTGGCCTTCCGCATCGTGAGCCAGCACCCCGGGCTGGAGGTCAAGGGCCGTGGACAACGCCAAGTCACTGGGGGTGCCATCCCCTGCGGACGTGACCGGCATGCGGCCCTGCTGGCAGAGCGGCTCCTGGCTCTCAAGGTGCGCGAGCCTCAGTTCCAGGAGCTGCGCCAGTGGGTCGAGGCCCGCAGCACGGCAGCCGTGCTCTGGACAGGAGGCGCTGCTGCCCTCGTGCGCGGGCAGGCCAACGCGGGCGTCGCGAACGCCGCGCTCCAGGCCCAGCGCGCCGCCGCCGCGGCAGCCTCGGTGCTGGGCGGCAGCGGGGAGTTGGACATCGCCTTGGTCCTCGCCGACGGCTCCATGCGCGGCAAGGCCGATCCTGTCTTCGGAGCCCAGGCCCCTATCGCAAAGTGGGCCGAGGCGGTGTGGGAGGCCTGGCTACCAAGGCCCGCCTTGGACAAGCGTGTCCGCTGCCTACGCCGACTTGGCGGATCGGCCCTCGCCGCGGGCCAGGGTCCGAGGCCCCGCCGCTGCTTTTGCGGCGCCGGAGGTGTCGTCGCGTCGAACGCCGGCATCCTCGCTTGGTCCGCGGTTCCAGAGGGCACGGGCTTTTCGTGTAGCCCATCTTCAAGCTCCTCAACGGGAGGGGCGGCGATGACTAGGGCCCCGCCGAAGGGTGCCTTGAGGTCGGCTTTCGCGAACTGGCAGTGGCCCCGAGCGAGACTGCGCCGAGCAGGTCTGGCAAGCACCGCCATTTGCAGGCTGTGCGCGCGCGGGGCCGTGCGACCCGCGGGAAGCTGACCCCAGGTTCGCTTGGCATCTGGCACATCGCATTCTCACGTGTTCAGCCACGGCGCCATACAGGCGCAGGATGGCCCCCGCGTGGATTCAATATTCGGTGCGCAAGCGCACGGACCCCGAGGGCGTGCTCTCGCTGAGCCCGGCTGATCTTGCTCCGCTCACCAGGGGCTTCGCGCCGTCGCCAGCCTCCTCAGTAGACCCGCCGCCAGAGCAGGAATCTTTCGACTGGGTGGTCCCGCCTGGCCCGCTGGCTGCGCGGGTCGATGCGTGCGTTGACGGCCCCAGACTGGATGGGGAAGCTGACCTCCATAATGTGTGCGCTCGGCAGGGATGGGCCATCGCTGCGCGCGACGGCGACCGACAGCTCTTGGCGGCGGCGCATGGACGCACGCCGCCGTAGGTGCGTGGCGTTCACGCCACGGGGCTGTGGGGATTGCTGATGGCCGCCCAGTCTTCTGACCCCGCTGGTTCGCTGAAGGTCGGCTGTTCCGCTGCGCAGCTCGGCGCGGAGAGAAACCTGCAGTGGGCCACCGCTCCCGGCTGGACCCTGGCCACAGCGTGGGAACCCATCTCGGCGTCGCTCCAGTCGAGCCCAGACCGAGGGATGTGGATGCCAGCTCACAACACTGCCACGAGCTACGTCGGCAAGAGGATGAGCAACGGCCGGCTTGCGCAGGCCCGCGACGTCGCCTTCAACGACCTCGTCGACAGATCGCTCGCCGCGATGCGGCGCCCAGGGCCCATGTGGAGCTGGTCCTCGCTGTAGCTGCGCGCCCCCGCGACTCCGCGAGGCCGCTATTTGGATAAGGCGGGCCACCGTGCACGCGAACCGCTGCCTCCTCGACACGCTGGCGCAGGTAGGCCCGGGCTCCATGCGCCAGTGCGCGCGCGACTCCGAGGCGGAGCGGCCGAGACGCGCCCGCGGCTGCAAGCGCGAGGCCGCGCCCTCCGACGGCGCTCGCGAGCCCAGCAGCCAGGCGGCGCAGACAGGCTTCCTGCAGCTCGCCCCGCCGAGCGGAGCCAGGGGCCCCACTAGCGGCCAGCCGGGGCGGTCGGCAGCCGCCGCTACCTCTGCTGCTGCGGTCTGGCACCAGGCGAGGGCCAAGAAGGCCGGGGTGGTGGGGCGCTTGGAGGCTGCCCGCGACGAGGCGCGCTGTCCCGCCGCGCGCCGCAGGCCAGCGCGCCGGGGTCCCGCGACCGATTGCGTGGCTGCTTTGCGGGCCCGGATTGCCGCGAAGGAGCAGCGCGCCGAGGCTGGGGGCACGGCAGAGGCTGAAGCAGCCTCGCCGGGGGAAGCACACTTGAGCCGTGTAATGGGCACGAGAATTGAAGCCAGAGCAGCACCCTCGGTGGGGCCGCAGCGCCTGCTGCCTCCCACGCCAATGACAAAAAAAAGTGGCGCAGTTGACCTGTGTCCCCGCCACCAATTTCGGCACGCCCCTCACGGTTCGTGGCCCCATAGGAGCTCCGCCGAAGGTCTCAGTGGCACAGTTGACATGCGTCCCCGCCACCCATTTCGGCACGCCCCTCACACGGTTCGCGGCCCCACAGGGAGTTCCACCGCAGGCCCCAAGGGGGCGAGGCCACATGCTTCCCCGCCGCCCAATGTCGGCACATCCTTCCCCATGGGGAGCTCCACCGAAGGCCCCAGGGGGTGCTTTCACACGCGCCCCAGGATCTCATGTCGGCATCCCCCTCACACACTTTGTGGCCCCATAGGGAGCTCCACCGAAGGCCCCAGGGGGTGCATCCACATGCGTCCCAGGCCATCACTTCGGCACACCCCTCACACGGTTCGTCTCCTCGCCCTCGCTGTATTCGCAGCTGCATATGGTTGGGTCCTTCGTCCGGCTAATTTTGGCACCTGTTTCAAGCAGGTGGAGCACCCCCATAGGACGCACTGATGCAGACAATCGCGTTGAGCAAAGGTCCGGAATCACAGACCCCCCCTCCCACCCGCTTTCGCCCTGCCCCCCCTCCCTCCCCCTTCCCGCCCCTTCCGATGGTGCATTTTTTCTTAAGAGAACGACATACACCATCCTGGGCCCCAGGGGAGTGCCGTGAGGCAGAGACGGTGGTGGTGGTGTACAAGAGCTGTGGCGCCTCCACGAAGCATCCGGCAACCGCGCGGGTGAACCGGCAGCTTCCCATGCTCGCCTCGGCCCCCAGCGTTTCCTCGGCTGCTCCCCCTGAGCTGGCCCAGATCCTCAGCCCCCTGCGACCTTGCGCACGAGGCAGGCAGGGCACCCGCCGGGGGGTTGGCCCGGAGGCCTGCCCGGGCCTCTTGAGACGGCCGCTTCTTACCGCCCTGCAGCCGCAGTGCAGGGAGCCGGTGTGACGTCCGCCGTCCGCCTCTGGAGGTTACCAGGTATGGAAGTGCTCGGGAGGTCCCGCGGAGGTCCCTGGAGGCCTTCGGAGGCCCGAGGAGGGCCAAGAGCGTCCATGAGCCTCGATCAGCGTCGTCGTCGTGGCCCAAGAGGCTTCTGCAGGGACGCCTGGGCCGGGCCGCGGCGTCCGCTCGGTGCCGCGCCGCATTCGCAGCCCAGCAGCGGGTTCCATGTCAATCCGATCGATGCAGGCTGGTGTCAGTTTCGGCGGGGCCTGTCCGATCCGATTCCTGGGTTCCGACAGCCCGACGCGGTCCGATGCCCGCGCGGCGCTGCTGGCGCGGCCGATCCGATCTGGTTCCGGCTTCGTGCCGAGGTGGCCCGATTCGACGCACTCTCCGATGCGAGCCGGTTTGTCGATTCGATGCTGACTTCTCTGCCCCGCAGGCGCTGTACCCAGAGGACAGGACGCCCTGGCGGTACCCCAACTCGGGCGGGCTCGTCGGCCCCGCCAGCGTTATGCAGGCGCGTCTGGGAGGGCGGCGACGAGCAAGCAGAGACGAAGCCTCGTGGTTTGTCTAATCATGGGCTGAAAGGAAAGTATGACAACCACTTGTGGTTTGTATGACATGCTCGTAGGACATGTCTGGCTGGGGTCTTATTCTCTGGCAGTGGACCCAGAGTATAACATTACACACTGCTCATGTCTAGTTATTCGAAAGTTATTTGACTGTTGGGGGCCAAGATCCTTTCATTTCTAATTGTTCTATCCTGGGCCTCTTCCTGGCCACTAGGGGGCAGGAACAATTATAAACGAGCACAGTTAGACATGAGCACGGTCAGAAATGAACGACGTGTACGTTTTGATGTAGAACGTGCGCATGTCCTGAGACCATTTCGCGGTAGGCGTGTACGGTCCTGGTGACGGTCGGTCCCTGCCCCGGGGGAGGCATTTCACCTCAGGAGGTTTTTAGTGTTGCACGGACGGTGTCAATCTGAGACAGACGGCCGCCTGCCCAACAGGGACCGCTGTCGGTTTTGGACAACGTTTGCTGTTGGGCCCTGTGCCCATGGACCTTCCGTACACAATTTCGGGCGTCCGAAGTCCTTCTCGTTTCCCCCCCCTCCTCGTCCTCCTCTTCCTCCTCCTCCTCCTCCTCCTCCTTCTCCCCCTCCTCCTCTCCTCCGCCCCCTCCCCCTCCCCCTCCCCCCTTCGCCCGCCCTCCTGGCCCTTCCCTTCGTCCGCCTCTGCCTCGAGGCTCTGATGCACGCCCTGGTGCACCAGGCGGCCTGCGCTCGCCCCCCACGGCCCTGCTCGTCGTCGTCGACGTCGCCATCGTGGCGGTGGTGGTCGTGGTCGTTCGTCGTTGTGGTGGTTGTCGTGTTCGTCGTCGTGGTCGTCGTCGGAAGGGGGGGGGAGGAGGAGGGCAAAGGAGCCGGGGGGCAGCAGTAAGCAGGAGCAGGGGTAGGGGCAGGAGGAGGGGCGGGAACAGGAGCTGCGAGGGAGGATGGGGGGGCAAGTGGAGGGAGGAAAAAGGAGGGGGGAAGAAGGAGGGGGGAGGGAGTAAGGAATAGATGCAGCATGTTTGTTGATTGTGATCATACGCTTTGTCTGTTTTTCGATCACACAATCGGAGTTAGGGGACTGAGCGGTGTTGCAGTGTTCCGGGGTGCGTGGCTGAAGTGGGGTTCCGCAGTGAACAGTATCGTAAGTATTGTTTTTGTTTGTTGCTGGCCCCGCCCCGCAACCCTCTTTCAAGCCTCCTGCAGCATTGCTTCAGCCAAGTCGGGGCAACGCGTCATCAAATCTTCAGACGCCGCTTCCGAAGTGAGCGGCGAGAAGATGTTAGCAAGTCTCGACATGCATCGTTGCTCGTGGAACTCGATGGTGCGTGCCGGTGCTCGGGCGGACGGGTCGGGGTGGGCGGGGTGACCCCAACGGGCGGGCCGAGCGGATGGGTCCAAACGGGCGGGTCGGGCGGGCGGACCCTCACGGGCAGGACGGTGAGGCGGGATTCGTAGCTGTGGGAGCAATCGTGGTGGACATGGACGCGTACGACCCTATTTCGTTGGACCTCGTGCCAGCGCCGCTTCCACTCTGCACCGCAGGCGGGGTCAGTGGCGGGCCTTGCGATACGTGAGCTCATGCAATGCGCGCTGCATGCAACAAACAACAGGGCGCGAGTGCTCCGCGCGTTCCGACCCCAGGACATATCGACAAGAATTCGAGTTCTTTGAGTCCACACGCCAAGTTGGTCGATCGGTTGGATGATGTTGTTTGGGAAGACCAGGACGGCGTTGGTTTTCACATGGCCCAAACATCTGGCATGCGCGTGCGTCGACCTCGCACTGTTCTTCGTCATCCGGATTCTCACGCAGCGCATTTGTGAAAGCAACGCGCGTGCACCGTACAGTGCTATTTGACAGTGGTGGTGTCCGTTCAGATCTGTTTCTGAGACATAATGCGTACTTGCGCGCGAGTGGCCAGTAACACAGTGCTTGTCTGGAAGAGAAGCCGGGGCCGGATAGGGCCAGGTCCTGCCCGCCAGGGCTTGTGGTCAGGGACGGCACCATGTCTTATCGTGTTGGGTGGTTATTTTCCCCATTGTCCCACCGCATGGAGGCCCCCGCTTTTCTCCTCTCGCTTGCGTCTGCAAGAGGAGTGCCTGGACCGCCCAAATGGGGTCGAAGTAGGTGGGGTCGGAAGATCGCGCCGCATCGCCGACGCATCGGCGATGTGGATCGATGCGGAGCCCGATTTTCGCCACGCCAACGGCGGCGCTGCATCGCCGACGTCGCATCGCCGATACATCGGCGATGCATCAGCGATGCAGCGAGTTCCCCCGACCCCATCTGAATCTACTTGGACTCCATCCAGGAGTCCTCTATATATATACCCCCTAGACAGGGCACATGAGCTCTTCGAGTCGGGCTTCGCGGGACATACCCCTAACTTGGGAGGGGGAATGGCGGGGCTGTGCGATAGCATGGCCCCAAGGGGATGGGGATCGGTTACCAGGATGGACAGTGGCAAGGATGCATTCCTCTCCTCCCCCTTCTTGCGCTTGCGCTGGGCTGCCGGCCACCAAGACGTTGGTCGCCTCGGCTGCCAGGGATGGACGGCGACCCGAAGCGGGGCCGCTCTCCCCCGATTCCTTGCGCCTGCAGGAGGAGCGCCTCCTGGCCCCCCCTGCGCCGAGGCCCGCGGGCGGTCGCGCTGCGGCGGGGGGATGGGCGCTCGCCGCGCCCCCGGCGCAGCGCCGCGCTCCCCCCCCCGCGCGGCCAGGCGGGCAGCGGAAGGCTCGCGGCCGAGGAGAACGACCAGGCCAGGCGCCCGCCCGCTCCGCGCCCCTGGGGCCTGGACCCCTCCTCCTCCTCCTCCTCCTCCTCCTCCTCCTCCTCCTCCTCTCCTCCTCCTCCTCCTCCTCCTCTCCTCCTCCCCCTCCTCCCCTCCTCCTCCTCCTCCTCCTCCTCCTCCTCCTCCTCCTCCTCCCCCTCTCCTCCTCCTCCTCCTCCTCCTCCTCCTCCTCCTCCTCCTCCTCCTCCTCCTGCGGGGACTTGAGACTTGAAGCAAGCACAACGGCATGTTTCCCGCCACCTTCGGCCCCCGGGAGCACTCGCCGGGCCCCAGGACCGTGCAAGGACGACTCGGGATGAGAAGCTGTTCCCAGGGAAAGGGTCGAGACCCCTCCTGCACGGGGGAAGACATTAAACAAGCAAAAACATTGACGTCGGGGGTCTGAGGATCATGCTGCCTGCCTCGTGCTGGGCACCGTCAGTGCTGTCCACTCTCTGTCGGCGGCTGCCAGAGGCGATCCTGTTTCCGTTTCCATGACCGTCCTCGGCCTTGCTCCTCGTCCTCCTCCTGCTCCCCGTCACCCTCACGCTCCACATCTTCGTCCTCCATCCTGCCCCCTCCCTCGTCGTCGTCGACGTCCTCCTCCCTCTCCGCCCCAGTTCTCGTTGCCGTCGTCCTCCTCATCCTGCTCATCATCCTTGTCACTGCTCCCTCCTCCTCATCCTCCCCGTTCTCTCATACACTGTACGGTCGGTTTCCCTCTGCTTCTCCGTCTTCGTCGCCCTCCCTGCTTGGGCGACGCTGAGTCTGGTTAGAGCAAGGCAGGTTGGAGCCGATGGGGGTTCCACTTGGTGGGCCTCCGGGAACGAGGCCAAGCCTTATTGGGACAAGTACCGTTTGAGTTGCGGTCCTCCATCGAGTAGCCCCGTTAGTCGATCTCCTCGTCTTCGTCGTCTTCCCCATCACATCGTCAAACCTCCCGCGTCCTCGTGTACGTCCTCCTGATACCTGCCCCTACTCGCCTTCGTCGTCGTCTTCCTCGGCATGGTCCTCGTCACGTTCGCCCTTCTCCATTTATATTGTGAAGGCCTGACGGCCGGTGCCGCCGACCCTGAAAGACATCGACGACGACCAGGAGGAGGAGGAGGAGAAGGAGGAGGAGGAGACGGAGATAAGGAGGAGGAGGGTGAGGAGAAGGAGGAGGAAAAGAAATCCCCTTTGGGCCCCCCCCCTCTGGGGAGGAGGACCGGAGGAGGACTGGCGTGGGAGGGGATGGGGGGGGAGGATAACCCCCAGGAACGGATGCGCATCTGACTCCCATCCCCCCCTGGGACTCCTCGCCACCTGGGGAGGAGGACCCGAGGAGGACCGGCGCGCCGATGAAGGACCGGCGTGGGAGAGGAGGACCCCCAGAGGCAATGCGAATCTGACCCCCCCCCAGGACCCCCCCCCTGCCGGAGAAGGGACAAAGGGAAGGGGCTTCCCTTTGACGTAATGAGGACGTGGATGGAATCCCCTCAAGCTGCAAACCCTTTCCCCGAACGAGGAAGGGTGATTGATCTCTTTCTCTCTCTCTCTCTCTCTCTCTCGCTCTCTCTCCCCCGACGGGAGAGGATGGGAAGAAGGTGACGAAAGAAGGCCCCTCGTCGACGGGACTGGACAGACCCCACACACGCCGACAGGTTCGGCAGATTTGTCTTCGTCGCCAGCTTCGTTGTTTTCCTTCTCCTCGCCCTCCTCTTTGCTACCCAGGCCTTCTTTTCCCCGCAGGGCGGAGTAAGCTGAGGACAAGCAAGGTCAAGAGAACGAGGGGGTGGGGAGTTGTGAACGTTTCATTCAGATGATTATTGTCGGGCGGGGCAACCAGACAAGAGCTATATGTTACCGTTTTTCGTCATTCGTCGGATTGGGGACGCGGGTGAAGTGGAAGACGACGGCAAGGACGAGAAAGAGGAGGAGGAGGAGGAGGCGGAGGAGGAGGAGGAGGAATGTTGAGGACAAGGATGACACGGAGTAAGACAAGGACGAGGATGACGATGATGAGGTGAATGAGGAAGAATGATGATGGTGAGGACGAAAGACAGGAGGGTGATGACGACTAGGAGCACAAGGAAGAGCAAGCTGAGGATGGCCAGTGGTGGGTACGAGGAGAACGACCAGGAGAAGGATAATGAGGACGTTGACGACGAGGACGAGGAACATAATGAGAAGGACGATGAGGAGGAGGGGGAGGGGGAGGGGGAGGAGGAGGAGGAGGAGGAGGAGGAGGAGGAGGAGGACCAGGAGGACCAGGACGACCAGGACGACCAGGACGACCAGGACGACCAGGACGACCAGGACGACCAGGACGACCAGGACGACGGATTGTTTGAGGAGGAGGCGGAGGAGGAGGAGGACGACGACGACGACGAAGTCGAGGACGACGAGGACGACGAAAGCGTGGGTAGACGACGACGAGGAAGAGGAGGAGGAGGACGACGAGGAAGAGTGGCAGGAGGAAGGCGACGACGGGGCTTGACGGGCAGGGTGAGGACGACAGAGCGGGGACGCGCCCGACGAAAAAGAGGACGCCCGACGAGGTCTCCCCCAGGTGCACCTCCACGAGTTCCTGCTGGACCAGGCGGGGCACCCCCGGGGCGGGCCCCGCCGTTCTGGGGGCGCTGGGCACCTCGGGCGCCCCCGAAAGCCGTAGGCATTGGGCCGCGGCCCCATGCTGCGGCCAGAGGCGGCTCGGGGCGATCGGGGGGTGGGGGTGTCCTCCTCCTCTTCCTCCTCCTTCTGCATGTTTTGCAATGGTGGGGAGGGCGGATACCAGCCCCCCCTGGGATGCTGCAAATTCATCTTTAGGATGGCGGCAGGGCAAAATCATATGTAAATGGCACGCGTGAGGCCGAATTGAGCACCACGGGAGGTGGTGGGGCTAGCATCTAATTGCTTTTCAGACAGGAGGATTGGGTTTTACAAAAGCAGGCAACATTCCATACTCATTCAAACATCCCACCCACCCGCATTTTGGTTTGCAAAACCCATGCGGCCGCGATTGCGATGAGTGCTTGGCGTTGGATGTTGCATTCCGGCGGCAGCGCTAACCCAAACACGCGCGCGCAGCGGCCAACTAGTTTTGCGCGACCGATGCAGCCGTGGTGGCGCTGACCGCTGGGCGCATCCCAGCTGGCACTTCACTGCGAGTCGGCGACTTGGGCGGGCGCGGTATAAAGGCAACGTCGACAGCGGTAGACTCGACGATGCTGGTAAAGATGCTATTGACGATGTTGACGGCGACGGCGCGGCCAGCGACTGCGCCAATGCTGATCACGCCGACGACGATGACGGTGTTTTCGCGTCGGTGATGCAGGTTTTGCAAAAGGTTGACCTGCGCTTGCGGCCGACGCGGGAAAGTAGCCCGCATGGTATTATTTGACACGGATCGTGCCCCCCTCAACGCGCGCGCAAGGGCGTGCGAATGATCTCGGCATGCGGCGCGAGATGCCCGTTTTGGGGAGTTCAATGAACTTGAAACACCGGTGGCCCGCTTAATTCGCTAGAGCGCGAGTGCAGGCTTTTTGAAACATTGATTTTGCGAAACCATGTGTTTTTCCCAACCATCCTGTGGTGTTGGGTCCTCGTTTTGAAGAGACGGTGCCCGCGTCCTCTCCTCTCCTCCTCTCCTCCTCTCCTCCTCCTCCCCCTCCTCCTCCCTCCTCCTCCCTCTCCTCCCTCCTCTCTGCGTTTCACCCACCCATTACAGCGCTTCGTGGCTCCATAGGGAGCTCCACCGAAGGCCCCAGTGGGGGTGTTCGCATGCGGTTCCCCCACCCAGGGCAGCGTTTCGTGGCCCCATAGGGAGCTCCACCGAAGGCCCCAGTGGGGGTGTTCGCATGCGGTTCCCCCACCCAGGGCAGCGTTTCGTGGCCCCATAGGGAGCTCCACCGAAGGCCCCAGTGGGGGTGTTCGCATGCGGTTCCCCCACCCAGGGCAGCGTTTCGTAGCCCCATAGGGAGCTCCACCGAAGGCCCCAGTGGGGGTGTTCGCATGCGGTTCCCCCACCCAGGGCAGCGTTTCGTGGCCCCATAGGGAGCTCCACCGAAGCCCCAGTGGGGGTGTTCGCATGCGGTTCCCCCACCCAGGGCAGCGTTTCGTAGCCCCATAGGGGGAGCTCCACCGAAGGCCCCAGTGGGGGTGTTCGCATGCGGTTCCCCCACCCAGGGCAGCGTTTCGTGGCCCCATAGGGAGCTCCACCGAAGGCCCCAGTGGGGGTGTTCGCATGCGGTTCCCCACCCAGGGCAGCGTTTCGTGGCCCCATAGGGAGCTCCACCGAAGGCCCCAGTGGGGGTGTTCGCATGCGGTTCCCCCACCCAGGGCAGCGTTTCGTGGCCCCATAGGGAGCTCCACCGAAGGCCCCAGTGGGGGTGTTCGCATGCGGTTCCCCCACCCAGGGCAGCGTTTCGTGGCCCCATAGGGAGCTCCACCGAAGGCCCCAGTGGGGGTGTTCGCATGCGGTTCCCCCACCCAGGGCAGCGTTTCGTGGCCCCATAGGGAGCTCCACCGAAGGCCCCAGTGGGGGTGTTCGCATGCGGTTCCCCCACCCAGGGCAGCGTTTCGTAGCCCCATAGGGAGCTCCACCGAAGGCCCCAGTGGGGGTGTTCGCATGCGGTTCCCCCACCCAGGGCAGCGTTTCGTGGCCCCATAGGGAGCTCCACCGAAGGCCCCAGTGGGGGTGTTCGCATGCGGTTCCCCCACCCAGGGCAGCGTTTCGTGGCCCCATAGGGAGCTCCACCGAAGGCCCCAGTGGGGGTGTTCGCATGCGGTTCCCCCACCCAGGGCAGCGTTTCGTGGCCCCATAGGGAGCTCCACCGAAGGCCCCAGTGGGGGTGTTCGCATGCGGTTCCCCCACCCAGGGCAGCGTTTCGTAGCCCCATAGGGAGCTCCACCGAAGGCCCCAGTGGGGGTGTTCGCATGCGGTTCCCCCACCCAGGGCAGCGTTTCGTGGCCCCATAGGGAGCTCCACCGAAGGCCCCAGTGGGGGTGTTCGCATGCGGTTCCCCCACCCAGGGCAGCGTTTCGTAGCCCCATAGGGAGCTCCACCGAAGGCCCCAGTGGGGGTGTTCGCATGCGGTTCCCCCACCCAGGGCAGCGTTTCGTGGCCCCATAGGGAGCTCCACCGAAGGCCCCAGTGGGGGTGTTCGCATGCGGTTCCCCCACCCAGGGCAGCGTTTCGTAGCCCCATAGGGAGCTCCACCGAAGGCCCCAGTGGGGGTGTTCGCATGCGGTTCCCCCACCCAGGGCAGGTTTCGTAGCCCCATAGGGAGCTCCACCGAAGGCGCATGCGGTTCCCCCACCCAGCGGCGCTCCACCCCCCACCCACCGAAGTGGGCAGTTCGTTTTAACCCAGGGCAGCGTTCGTGGCCCCATAGGGAGCTCCACCGAAAGCCCCCGTGGCGCAGTTCGCATGCGCTTCCCCCACCCAGGGCAGCGTTTCGTGGCACCATAGGGAGCTCCACCGAAGGCCCCCGCAGTTCGCATGGGAGCTATCCCCCACCGAAGGCCCGCCCCGGTGGTGCAGTCCGCATGCGGTTCCCCCATCCAAGGCAGCGCTTCGTGGCCCCATATGGAGCCCCACCGAAAGCGGCACCCACAACGCGTTACCAACAATTGCTGATGGTTGGGTCTTTCGCCAGGATATTTTTTACATGTGTGGTTGGACACTCGGCTTTGAAATCTTTATGGAACTGAAGGTGTCTGACGAATTCCTGCATGCGCGCGCGACGACGCGCGCGCGTGAAATCCGGCCCGTGTTTTGGGACGGCTTCTCGCCACAGCACGCGCGCAAAAGCCGCCACTCGCCCCGAGCGGCGGCTACGATGACGGCGGCGACGGGCGGCACCACCCGCAAGAGCCGCCACTCGCCCCGAGCGGTGGCAACGGCCACGGCGACGGCGGCGACAGGCGGCACCGCCCGCAAAAACCGCCATTCACCCGAGATGGTTAAGCCAAGTGAGGACCCCGAAGTGCAAACACTGTTTGGGGAACGGAACAGAAGGTACACAGCAAGCTGTGCCAGTAGAAAATGATGCTGAACTACAGCAGTACGTAGCCCTCTTCCCCACCAGCCCCACCCGAATAAACCCAGTCCCGCCTAACTCCATGTCTCTTCTGCTAGGCCGATCGAACCAGGCCAGTAACAGAGAAGAGGCACAACTGGTGCAATTTGGGCTGTGTATGAAATTGGCCTGTACTCGCAGTTGGGCATCGTGTCAGACTCGCCTGAAAGGCTGGCATACGGGCGCAGAGGTGGGGCCCTCTCTGCCTAGGGGTCCCGCGGGTCCCGAAAAAAATAACTGACGAGGTTTAGGGCGTGATGGAGCAGGCAGACGTGTGGAGGGAGCAATGAATCAAATAACGAGCGTCTGCAGGCTGTTGCTGACATGCAGCCATTTATAGATGGCCCTCCCCAGCCCCACCTGTATCAAGCCCAGTCCCACACTCTCTAATCTATCCTGTTGGGCAGACGCAACTAGTCCAGTAACAGAGAATACGTACAACTGGAGCAAATTTGGCTGTGCATAGAACGGTCCAGTGCTATCGGCTGAGCGTTGTGTCAGGCTGGCTTTAACGGCTGGCCTATGGGCGCAATGGTGGGGCCCGCCCTGCCCCGGGGGTCAGATGGTCCCGAAAAGGTACGTGGCGAGGCGTTGAGCGTGACGAAGCAAAACAGACGCACAGGAAACACGTATTCAAACAAAGAGCCTTTGCAGCTTGTGTTGGCATATTCTTGCCTAGACGTTCTGCGAAGCGATGTGAGATGTACCTGTCTGGCTCGAACGCAAGCAGCAACGACGGGGGAGAGAAGTGAACAAATGTCCTATGCATCAGCAAGCGGATGTACAGGGCATCCGTTGTCCTCAGCGGTCAGTGGGGTACGGCCCCTGGGGGGGGAGGAGGTGCCCTGTCAACCCCAGTCATGGGCAAGTCGGCCCAAACGGGCTTTAGATGTGAGAGAGGGAGGGGGGGGAAGAGGGGAACGCCGAAGGCGACAGCACGAGGAGCCCAGGGAAAGCACAATGGCAGGGGAGTCGGACATCGGTTTTCTGCGGTACTCGAAGAAGAGGGGCTGGCTGTCGTGGAAGTCGTGATGTACCACCGTGCTTTCTGTGTACGCTGTAGGCGCCGCCGCCACGCATGGTCATGGCACTGCCGTGGTAGTCTACGCAGGTCCCAAAGTTGCTGGGGCGATGTCTCGTTCTAGTGCATTTAGCCCGTGTGCAACGTCTGGTTTGGTTTCGGTGTGGGCGGAGCTTTGAAGACCAGAGGCGCTTGTACTGGATGAAGTGTTAGTTGATGTAGTATCCCATTGTGCTGCTGAATGCGTAGGCGTGCGTCAGCGAGGTGTTGTTGGTAACGGGTTTGATGCCGCCGAATTGTGGCGACGTAGTCGAGGAAGGTCGGGTCGTAGCGGCCGTGGACGAAGTTGGGTCCCAGGTGGTCAACATTTATGTGTGGTGTGGTCCTTGTACTGCTGTAGTGTGTGCTTGGCGGCGCCTTGAGTGGGAAGTATACGTGCCTGGTGGCGTATGTGTATGGTGCCAGCTCTGCAGTGGACATGTCGTGCAACAATACTAGTGCTCTAGCGTCCCCAGGTGGCGGGCAGTCGATTGGAATCCTGCGGACGGGTGGCGGTAGGTGTATGGGGTTTCTGGTGATGCGCGCCAGTGAGATCGTTCTGATGTTTGTGTTGGTAGGTGGCGCATCTGGTGTTGTTGCGTCGGCGTCGTCTGTTTGGTTGTGGGTTGGTACGCGGCGCTGTGGCTGTTTTCTCGTACCCATTGGTGCTGGCGTGGGTGTTGAAGCGGTCGAGCGTATGTCGTGTCGGTATCGGACGGTGTTCGGCTTTGTAGATTCGTAATCGTCGTCGCTCGAGCTCGCGTAGGTGTGTGCGTGCATTAATTTGGCTTGGGCCGTGTACCGAAGTAGGGTTCCAGACCTGTTCCAGAAGTCTTGCTGTGTAGTGTATGCGTACTGGCCAGTCGTACCTCATGATGTCGTCGTAGTTGTTGCAGGGGGTGAGCCACTGAGAGACGACTTGTATGGCTTGCGTGGTTTGGCCAGTTACAGTTGCTGTAGGGTCTGCTCAGTGTAGTGAAATACCTGTTGGTGATTGTTACTGCTAGCCTGACGTTCTCGTTGGATCGATAGTGGTTCGCGAGATGTCGCTTGGTCTGGGTTTACCAGCTGGTAGGTGGTTGTCTGCTGGTATGGCGTTCTGAAGTGATGAGTACTTGGTTGGACCTGTTGGTGGTAGCTTGAATATCGTACGTGGAGGTGCGTGGGGGTTGGGTCGTAATGGTGGGTGTGGTAGGCATTACCGTAAGTCTGTATGGAACATCTCGCTGTTGCAATTGTTCAAGTATCTGTGCCAGCCTGGCAGGAGGAAGCAATCATTGGGAAAACGGTAGCCAAAGGTGTTGGTCTGGCCGTGGTAGTAGATGGCAGAACGCCATCGGTCGTCGTCGCAGTCGTCGCCCTCCATGTCCCTGGCACTGTATGCCCTCAACTCGTCTTGGCATTGCATGTCTTGCCTGTAGCGAGGTGCTTGTGATGTAAGGTATAGGTATTTTTTGTGGGTCGGTGCTTTGCAGTCCTCACTCTTATCGGTGTCGCTGTCGAGATCGGAGGTAGCGGCAATTGGGGTCCTAGTTGCTGCGTCGAGGACATGTCCCCAGGGGTTGCGAGGGGCTGGTGGGCTTGGTTGAGTATGTGGTGCGATCTGTGCTGGTGGTGTGGGCTCCTTGGCCGCAGGTGCAGGCGTGGGTGCATGGCTAGGTGGTGGTGGTGCCCTGCCTTGCTGGTGGCCTCGTCCGAGTCTAAAGTCGATGTGAGGCATGCGTTGCTGTGGTGGTATCGGCAGTAGATAGCCCGTGCAGGCCTTGCGGAGTCGATCGTCATGGTCGTACTGTGTTTTTTCTGATTTTCGTTGCAGGTCTGGCTGTCCTTGGTCTAATTCGTAAAATGGGTGGCCTGGACTTATGCCGGTAGGAATCCTGAGGATTTTTTTGTCCCGAGAAAAATGTTGGTCTGAATGTGAATTGCGTGCCGCCCGGGTGTGGTAAGTACATGGCCGGCGTAGAACGGATGGTATTAGTGTTGCGGTCCATTGGTCGCATGTGCGATTTGGGGTGCACCTCAGTGATCGGGATTGGTGACAGACCTCCTATCAGCTGTGGCCACATGGGGTTGTCTGGAGTTGGTGCTAGGAGGTCAAAGTGTGTGGATGGTGGGCGTGGGTGCTGTGGCGGTATTTGTGAGAAGGGTTCACGCACCGAGCCTGCCCAGGAGTTCAGTAGTTCGATGGTGTAGTCGCTGGCGTCCTGTAGTTCTACGTAGTTGGGTTGCGCGTGTGTGGAGGGCGGTGTGGTGTGTCGGTGGTTCTTGTCTACAATGCATGTGGACCAAGGTGGGAGTAGTGTGGCTGCTCCAGATGTATGTAGTACGTCTGCCAGTATGTTGGTGAGCGAGAGTAGTTCGGAACCAGTGGCGATGGTGTTATGTGAGTTCTTCGCGGAGCTGGGAAAGGTGGCATTGACGCTGGTAGTGAACTTGTTTTGGATGCCGTTGTTTTCGTCGATCTGGAACTCGATGTTTCCTTGTTGCTGATATTAGATCGTGTACAAGGTTTCCTTCTAATCTTTCTCTGTGCTGTCGAGGTGGTAGTGAGGGTGTCGTAGTCGTACATTGGTGAGATCGGTATCGCTGTTGAGTGGGTCTCAGTTCACGTCGCTGATCACGTGGCGTCGGATGTCGTGGTCGGTTGTGCCATCTGGTGCGAAGGGTTACCCATCGCGGCGGTAGTCGGCTCACCTGTAAAGTGGGATGTTGTCTGGTATTTCTGGCCAGTGGCTGTAGATGCTTGTGTGCGATGGGATGTTGGTCCACTGTTGTAGTGCTGCTTCTAGTCGTTGTTTGATCAGGCCGAAGTACTGCTGGTTGATGTCGGGCAGGTGGGCAACGGTGATGTGGCTCTGCTGTGTCGTTTGTGTCCAGCCTTTTTTGGTATGGCCTGGTGTGTTTTCGTGTCACAGATGCAGGGATATGTAGAAGACAACGTAGTTGCCGATGCTGTCGTTGTTAGTCTAGTTCTGCTTGAGCTTTTGTACTTGTGCCCTAGGTATCTGGGCTGTCTTGGGGTCGTGGTGTGTAGGTGTTACATACGTTGTAGCGGCTGCTGGCTGGGTGTGCCACGTGTCTTCAGTAGTGGTGGTAGCTCGTCGTTGCCGTCGTCCCCAACGTAGGCGTTATTTGGTAAGTGGGTCGTCGTCGTTCTCACTATGTGTCATGTGGATGTGTAGTGACGGTGCGTAAACAAAGCGAGGCGCGTTGGTCCATTTGTCCGTGCGTACGGCGTAGGTGTCCTGCGCTGTGGGTGCGTAGCGGAAATGTACCTCGTCTCCTTGCATGGCGTTAAAATGGAAAGCGCTGAGGAGAGCGAACAGCATGGTTGCTGGAGTTTTGAGCCTGGTTGCTTGAGCCAGAATGGCTACGGACTCCTCCTCATCCTCCTCCTCCTCCTTCTCCTGTTCCTCCTCCTCTCCTCCTGCTCCCTCCTCCTTGTCCTCCTTCCTCCTCCTCCTCCTCCTCCTCCTCCTCCTCTTCCTCCTCCCTCCTCCTCCCTCCTCCTCCGTCCTCCTCCCTCCTCCCTCCTCCTCCTCCTCCTCCCTCCTCCTCCTCCTCCTCCTCCTCCTCCTCCTCCTCCTCCTCCTCCTCCGTCCTCCTCCTCCTCCTCCTCCTCCTCCTCCTCCTCCTCCTCCTCCTCCGTCCCTCCTCCTCCTCCTCCTCCTCCTTCCCCTCCCTCCTCCTCCTCCCTCCCTCCCTCCTCCCTCCTCCCTCCTCCCTCCTCTCCAACTCTCTCCTCCCTTCTACTCCTTCTCCTCCTCTTCCTCCTCCTCCCGTCGGAAGTTTCTACGGCGGGGGGCGTTGGTTGTGGAATGTGCCCAGCAGGTTTCAGACCCTACCCTGGAGGATGCCTTCTCCCTTCTCCGACGAGGCCGGCGGTGATATCCAACGCCAAGCCTCAATTGGTGCTCCTTCAGTGCTCAGGCTCTGGATTCCTGGTCTGAGCGTTCCCTGTCCCGCGCCCTCGCCGCAGGACTCCCGCCCCGATTCGACGGGCGAACGCTCCTTTGGTACTCGACCCTCGGAAAGGCGTGGCGCGTGGCACGCCCGCAGTGTTTGGGGACCTGCGCCCGCCGGGGTTGGTCCTGGGCTGTTTTCGCCCAAGGGTGTTCTGCGAAAGAGGGGGCCTTGACCACTTCCGAGATCGGGGACGCCGAAGCTCTTGGTATCGCTCGGACGTCGCGTTTTTTCTCGGCGAGGGCCATCGAGGAGCGGATTGGATCAAGCTGCGACAAAATAGGCGCACGACATCGAACAGTGCGCGGGGAACGGACGTTCGAGCGATGGCGGGAACTTGTTGTTAATTGCCGCAGCGATGTGGGCCACGCCGCAGTGCTCGTCGTGTCGGGGGCTCCAGAGAGCAGGGTTCCGCCCCGACGGGGTCGGCCAGTCTGCGCCGATCCCTCAACAAAAAAGTCCCCTCCGATCCCTCCCCCGTGGCCCGTCCGGGCGCGCCCAGCCGCGGCGGCAGGCGGACGCCGGGAGCCCCTTCCCGCTGCAGCTGGACGTGAGCTGCTCGGTCTTCCAGTGCATGTACGAGGAGGCGCCCCAGGAGCCGCTGCTTCCGAGTTTGGCGGCGAGCCCCGGGAGGAGGGAGAAGGGGTGGGCCGTCTCAGAAGGCTCGAGAGTCCCCCAGCCTTCTGAGAGATGCTGAAAGCATTTACCGGAGGCACAGACAGCTTCTCAGAAGGCTGGCATGGCTTCTGCGAAGCCTTGCCGCCTTCTAGAAGGCCTTTTCCTTCTCACTTCCCCCCCTCGCTCGCAGACGAAGAGTGTCGTGGGCGCGGGGGGGTAGCCGCCACCACGGCGAGGCTGTCGCTACGTTTGGGCGCCCCGCGAAGTGTCGTGGAGGTCAGAGGTCGGTGGCCACGGTTCGCAGGCGTTTTCTCGCCTCCAACCCTTGACTTTTCAAGGGGAAAATCAAGCCGCTCAGAAAAGCAGGGAAACTCGGGGATACGACCCCGGGGGGCTGTTCGGACGCACCCCCCAACGAGGATGCCCCCCCTATGGTATATCCCAGGATTGGGCCCCAGATCTCTGGTCCATCCGAAACCCCACGAAGCCCGGGATAGGGGTCGACACATCTCCTGCGAACGGCCGTGGGGCCCGCCTGCCTTCGCCCCTCCGGGGTGAAGTCTTCGCCAGGGGCCCGTGCAACGCATCGGTCCGTCGATCTCGTGGCGCTGGAAGGAGCAGGCAGAATCCAAGCCGCCCCCAGGGCCGTCCCCCTCGTTCCTGCTCCCCTGCCGCCTCGTTAGCATCCCTTGCCTCCCTCCCTTGGTTGGCGCCCTTGCGGCGCCGGCCTCCCCGGCGCAGGGACTGCTTCGTCTGAGCCCCTGCTGCGCTTCCGCGGCTCGTTTGCGGAGGAGGCGGGCGAGGAGGAGGAGGATGAGGAGCAGCAGCAGCCGCAATAATACCTCTAGACGGTTCCATGAGTCCTCGTCCGCGTCGTCCTCATCCTAATTCTCGTCCTCCTCGTCCTCGTCCTCCTCCGCGTCCTTGTCCTCCTCGTCCTCCTCCTCCTCCTCCTCCTCCTCCTCCTCCTCCTCCTCCTCTCGCTTCCACGCGGCCCCCAGGGATGGGAGGCTCAAGGAGAGCCCCCCCCCGCTGGAAGGCGGTGTCGGTGTTGCTCGTTGTCGCGCGCGCAGGCCCTGCACATGAGCGCGAGGGTGATCTTGTTTTGGTGAAGCACCTCTGCTCTCTTGGTATGGCGTTCTCCTCCTGTGCCCGCAGCGGGCTTCCTGGGTCGTACTGGAGTTATCCACTGGTTGTCCATCGGTTCTTCCGTGGCCCGCGGCGTGTCTCCCTGGGTGTTCTGTGGGACGCTCGTAATGTGTGGTCGTCCTGGAGTTAGATCGATCATGAGATGGTGGGGGAAAGCAGTGGCTATATACGGACGAGCCAATTGCAAACCGAAAATTGCACCCATTCCCCCATCCCCCACACAACCAGTTATCAGCCAAAGCGATCCTATCAAGGGAACCGAGGTGGCTTGTGAGCATTCCCAAACTGTAAACATATATCTCTCAGTGGCACGTGGAGGCGCGGGACGACGCGAACGAGAACACGCGCCCTCGGATTGTTAACAACCTCACAGGAGTGGAGGGGCCGCCTTCTCATGCTGTCAGCCTTGTTGTCATCGGTGTGCTTTTGTGTTCAGATCGGCCGTGCACGTCATCGGACAGATCTTCGCATGGGGGCCAACAACATGTGTTGTCGAGCGGGGCAACGCAAAGGGTGGAGTACTATCTAGTTATGTGTGCAAAGTGGGAGCCTTGAATTAATAATCAACGTCGCTCTTCCCACGATAGAATCAACCGCAGAATCTGTCCTTGCCCCGCTGACGTTCCTTGGCGCGTCGCGCGTGCCCCCCCACCCGCTCTCATCCCTAATCCTACGTCCCTTCCTCCTTCACCATCTCCTGTCCCCTGGTTATCCGTCATTCTTCCACGTTCCCTCTCTCCGCGCCTCCTCTTCCTCGAGGCCGGGGCATTGTGTAGTCACACGGGATTCCACAGGGTTGTTTTGTAGCCTTTCCTTCTTCTTGGTTGCGAATATCACACATATATGTGTATATATATCTAAATATATGTATAGATTTGTTTCTATACATACATATATACACATACAAGTGGCACGTGTATGCCCAGGCTCATACAACAAGCTGAAGGGGCGTTTGAAGCAGGAGTGACATGCAACAGCGAAGTCGCACTCGAGCGCAAGTGGGGTTGCCACACCTTGCGATGTGTGTTCCAGGGCCCCCCAGGAAGCCTCAGGAGGCCCGACTTGGATACCAGAAGAGGCTCCAGGAGGCCCCAGGATTGTGAGTGTTGTGTGTGTGATGTGTGCTTTGTGTGGTGCGTGCTTTTTGTGTGTTGTCGGTGTTGTGTGTGTGTATGTTATGTTTGTCTAGCGTGTGATGTGTTGGGCGTGATTTGTGTCTCTGTGTGTGCATGTAGTTCTGAAGCCCCAGGAGGCCCCAGGAGGCCCCAGGCGGCCTCAGCAGGCCCAGGAGAACTCCAGGAGGCTCCGAGGCGGGGTCTGGGGTACCAGAAGGTCCAGAAAGCCCCAGGAGGCCCCAGGAGGTTCCAGGAGGCCCCCAGGAGGCTCCGAGGAGGGGTCTGGGGCTCGATTTTGGGAGGATGTCTCAGGCGAAACCGCCATTCTCTGAGAATCGGGGTCAAAATTATTGAAATTACCATGTGTTTTTGAAGGTTTTATGTTAAAATGTTGAAATTCCCATGTGTTTTTGGACCCTGACGTCACGATCTGCGTGAGGGGTGCCACCGATTTTCAGAATTTCGAGGATGTCCCGAGCGAAACGGCCAGACAAATCGCGGACGACGTGCGCATTAATCGCCTCTGAGCTCTACTCCCTCGGAGAGGTGCGTATGAGAATATATATATATATATATATATATATGTGTATCGCAGTAGGCCGGGGGGGGGCCGTGCCCGTGCCGTCATCCCCCATGGGCGCCCCCCGGAACCATTGGGGGACCCCCAGGGACTGCCCCGGGCCGCTTCCAAATTGCCCACGACAGGCCACGCGGGCCGTACAGATGGTCAAGAAAGCCTCAAGAGGCCCCGAAGACGCCCAAGAGCGCCCCAAGAGGGCCCGAGATGGCTTGAAGATGGCCGACGAGGGCCCCAAGAGGGCCTTCAATAGGCAAAAGTCAGCCCATTCCCATCGTAAAACGTACATGATAAGCATGCTCGCTGGCTTCGTCTTCGCAGTGCCCCAGACGCCCCCGAGGAGCCCCAACACAGCCCAAGAGAGACCCAAGAGGGCCCAAGACGGCCCCAAAGGGTGGTCCTGTGGGGCTCGCGGAACCTCCCAAGCCGCCCCCTGCCTTTTTGGAAGCGTCTATGTGGCCGAACGTTGAGGCCAGACCTGCCAAGCTATCGGACCATGTGTTCCCCGAATCGGTTTGGAAAGCCTTTGGGGAACACGTGGGCATCTTGAAGGTCATCTTGGCCGTCTGGAGACCATTTTGACCCTTTCGGGACTTTTCGGAGGACGTCTTGGAGGGCTCTTGGGCCGTCTTAGAGGCCATCTTGAGCGTCTTGGAGGTCTCTTGGGCCCGTCTTGGGCCTCTGGGGTGATCTTCGGGGTTACTTGGGCCGTCTCGGGCCGTCGGAAGGCCGACAAACAAGCAAGTGCCACAATCCTTCACAAACTCATGGGGAATCAGTGATTTGGGCCTTTTCGGGCCTTCCTGGAGGCCCTCTTGGAGGCCTCTTGGGCCGTCTTGGGTTAGTGCCATCTTCGGATGTCTTGGTGGGCTGCTGGCGCATGACGCCGTCGGAAGCCGTTTGGGGCGCCTCTCTGGGCCGACTTGGGGCCCTCTTGGAATACTCCAGACCCGTCTTGGAGGCCATCTTGGGCGTCTTACAGGCCTCCTGGGCCGTCTTGGGGGCCTCTTGTGGCCGTCTTGGGGGCCTCTTGGGCCGTTCTTGGGCCATCTTGGAGGCCTTTTGGGCGATCTTTGGGCGACCTTTGGGGGCTCTTGGGCCGTCCCGGACCGTCGAAAGGTCGACAATAAGTACATGTCAAATTATCCCGGCAAAGCAACCTAACAGCGATGTGTAGAAGCATATCTGAAAGCATTCCCCTTAAGATTCAGATGAAAATCCAGTTGTCGAATTCTGCTGTTCTCGCAGTCGTAGTCGCATTCGCGATGACAGTCGCAGCGGCAACGGCAGTCGCAGTCACAGCCTCAGCCTCAGCCTGCCTCCTCCTCCTCCTCCTCCTCTTTCTCCTGCTCCTCCTCCTCCTCCTCCTCCTCCTCCTCTCCTCCTGCTCGTCCTCGTTCTCGTCCTCCTCGTCTTGCTCGTCCTCCTCCTCCTGGTGCTCTCTCCTCCTCCTCCTCCTCCTCCTCCTCCTCCTCCTGGTGGTCCTCGTTCTCCTCCTCCTGGTGCTCTCCCCCCCCCTCCTCCTCCTCGTCCTCCTCCTCCTCCTCCTCCTCGTCCTCCTCCTCCTCTTCCTCCTCCTCCTCCCTCCTCCTCCTGGTAGTCCTCCCCCTCCCCTCCTCCTCCTCCTCCTCCTCTTCCTGGTCGTCCTCGTTCTCGTCCTCCTCGTCTTGCTCGTCCTCCTCCTCCTGGTGTTCTCTCCTCCTCCTCCTCCTCCTCCTCCTCCTCCTCCTCCTCCTCCTCCTGGTGGTCCTCGTTCTCCTCCTCCTGGTACTCTCCCCCCCCCTCCTCCTCCTCCTCCTCGTCCTCGTCCTCCTCCTCCTCCTCCTCCTCTTCCTCCTCCTCCTCCTCCTCCTCCTCCTCCTCCTCCTCCTCCTCCTGGTACTCCTCCCCCTCCCCTCCTCCTCCTCCTCCTCTTCCTGGTCGTCCTCCTCCTCCTGGTCGTCCTCCTCCTCCTGCTCGTCCTCCTCCTCCTCCTGCTCGTCCTTCTTCTCCTGCTCCTCCTGCTCCTCGTCCTGCTCCTGCTCGTCCTCGTCCTCCTGGTCTTGCTCGTCCTCCTCCTCGTCGTGCTCTTGCCCCTGCTGAAAATGTGGCCCAGGAATGGGAGTTCTGGGAAGTCGAAGAGCACGAAGTTGCCTACAGTTGGCTACGGGCATTCAAAATGTGGCCCGGGAATGGAGTTCTGGGAACTCGAAGAGCACGAAGTGGCCTACAGTTGGCTCCGGGCATTCAAAATGTGGCCCGGGAATGGAGTTCTGGGAACTCGAAGAGCACGAAGTGGCCTACAGTTGGCTCCGGGCATCCAAAATGTGGCCCGGGAATGGAGTTCTGGGAACTCGAAGAGCACGAAGTGTGTGACTGTTGCATCCGGCCCTCCAGAATGTGGCCCGGGAATGGAGTTCTGGGAACTCGAAGAGCACGAAGTGTGTGACTGTTGCATCCGGCCCTCCAAATGTGGCCCGGGAATGGCGTTCTGGGATCTCGAAGAGCACGAAGTGTGTGACTGTTGCATCCGGTTATTCAGAATGAGCCTGGGAATGGAGTTCTGGGAAGTCGAAGAGCACGAAGTGTGTGACTGTTGGTGAAAAACGAGTTGGGCACAGCCCGCCCGGCAACTCCCAACACCTGCCCGGACCCCCCTGTGGAGTGATCTGTGAACTCTTTTTACCCTACTAGAAACCTATCAGTCTTCGCTGTTAGGTAAATCCTCCAACAAGCCATTTCTGGCCTTCCTGGAGGCCCTTTTGGAGGCCTCTTGGGCCGTCTTGGGCCAGCTTCGAGCCAACTTTGGCCATCTTGGTGGGTTCCTGGCCCGTCTGACGCCGTCGGGAGCCGTCTCTGGGGCCTCTCTGAACCGGCTTGGGGCCCTCTTGGGGCGCTTCGGGGCCGTCTTGGAGGCCATCATGGGCGTCTTGGAGGCCATCTTGGGCGTCTTACAGGCTTTTTGAGGCCCTCTTGGGGCCGTCTTGAGGGCCTCTTGGGCCGTCATGGGGCCATCTTGGAGGCCTCGTGGGCGATCTTGGGGCGATCTTGGGGGCCTCTTGGGCCGTCTTGAGCCACCAGAATACCGAGAATAAGCAAATGCCAAAATCTTTCAAAAACCCTAGGACAAATCAATGATTTTGGCCTCTTCGAACCCTCCTGTAGGACCTCGTGGAGCCCTCTTGGGCCGTCTCGGAGGCCTCTTAGAGCCCTCTTCGACCTTCTTGGGCCATCTTGAGGCTATCTCAGGCTGTCTTGAGTGCATCTTGGGCCGTCTTGGAGGCATCTTGGGGCCATCTTGGCCGTCTTGGAGGCATATTGGAGGCCATGTTGAGCCGTCTCGAAAAAGTCACGCGTGGACCGCGCATGAGCGCCCAAAAGCGCCTAGGAGCGCCCAGGGGCGCCCTGAACTCCGTGCTGTGGGCTTCGATCTTTGCAGACCGAACTCAATACGGATAACTCGAAGGGACCTGACGACACCCCGACTCGTGCCTAAAGACACGGTGGCGGATCAAGCCAGTAGGGCAGAGGAAGCAGGCAAGGTGTATGAGATGGCAGAGGGGGGACGGGGATCATGACTCTGCGGGCCCGCGTCGGTTCGCTTCTAGCGAAGTCCAAACCGAGTCGACTCAAGACGCGCACTTCGACTCACGATTGTCGCCTCCTGCGCTGGGAGGCGCCGGGGGAATCGGCAGCACGCGGCCGATGTGCGCCTTCCTTTGCTATCCCCTCCCCAGACATTGCAATATGTGCGTGACGTCAGCCCCTCGGGATTCGGCCACTTCCCCGCCACATGCTCATTCCGAGTCGTTTCCTGACGGTCCCCGAGCCAAGAAACGGCCTGCAGATCGAAAGCGACACGCACGATCGGTCGTCGCGGTCTGAAATTGTGCGCCGCCCGGATCTGAGGGCTCGTCCGCCCCGACATCCGACGGTCGGATAGGGGAGACGTAAGGCTCGAGCTTGTCAGAACTCGCATTTCCCGCCGCTTTTTGCAGGTCCTGGCATGAGTCTTCGTGGTCCCGTTCTCGGGAGACGTTCGTGGTCAGAGCTCGCGTCAATAGTCGGACCAGGTCCCACCAACTTTTCGGACGGCACCGTCAGGCAGGTTCGAGGCCTCCAAACTCGAGTCCGACAGTCAATACGTCAATACGCTGCTCGGGTTCGGAGGGGGCCAGCTGTTCCCCAGGCCTTTCCACGGCTGTGCCTCTGACGCTCCTCGTGCGCCCTGGCGCTTTTGGAGAAGGAGCCTCGTTCCTTATTAAGGACGGTAGCGCGATGACCCTAGACATCCGACGAGGTAATTACACACTGCTCATTTCTAATTATTCGAGAGTTCCTTGATTTTTTGGGGGGCCAGGATCCTTTCATTTCTAATTCTTCCATCCTGGGCCTCTTCCTGGCCACTAGGGGGCCAGGAACAATTAGAAACGAGCACAAGTAGAACTGAGCACGATTAGAAACGAACGACGTTTATCCAATGCGTGGGCCCCAGAGGTTCCGACCCCGTCCCCTGGGGCAGTTTTGCGCCCCAGATTCTTTTCGGGTGGCCCTGGGCCCGACGAGGGGGCCCACGGGGCCACGACCGTGAAACCCCGAGGTGAAACAACACGGCATAAGCATGAACTTTCGGCGCTCCGCGCGGGTTGCTTGGATCGGCGTTGGACCTCCCCCCCTGGCGCGCGGAGCGCGCCAGGGGCGGCGCCGAAGGCGCCGCCAGGGGGCACAGCGTCGATCCAAGAAATCCGAGCGGGGCCCCGACAGTTTATGCTTATGCCGTGTTCTCTTCTTCGAGAAACGCCGGAATTCTCAAGAGTAAGACCGTCAGAGATCTGGGGCCGCACGCTTCCCCGATCGTAGGACAGCGGCCAGCCCCCCTGGGGAGGAAGCACCCCGCGGCGATCCCGCCCCGAGCCTCGCGGGCGCCCGCGCGCCCCGCGGGGGAGGCGAGCGGCCGGTGGTGGCGCACGGCAACGGCCACACCGGGCGCTGGTTTTTGCCCGCGCCCCAGACGGGCCCGCCGCAGCTAGAGCAGCCCGCGGCGCGCGTTGGTAGCCGAGCATGAAGCAGTGGCGGAGCGTCCTTGCCCACCTGCAGGCCCACCGAGCAATGTTCTGAGAACCTGCCGTGGCTTGCACCAAGCGTCTTGTGCCAGGACGGTCGACCCCTGCCCCATGAGCAGGCACGCCCAGGGCAGGTCTACAGCGGTGCGCTGTGGGAAAGGAGATGGTCCCTGTCCTCCTAGTCCTCGTCCTCGTCGTCCTCCCCTTCCTCGTTTTCGTCGTCCTCGTCCTCGTCGTCCTCCTCGTGGGCCGCGTCCTCGTCCTCGTCCTTGTCCTCGTCGTCCTCCTCCTCGTTTTCGCTCCTCGTCGTCCTCCTCCTCCTCCTCGTTCTCGCTTGATCAGGCGAGCCGCAGCGGGAGCGGAGGACGAGGAGGGAGAGACCGACCACCACCTGCCCGTGGGAGCACTGAGGAGGGGGGAAGAGGGATGACGCCGATCGGCGCTGTGGCACGAGGGCATTGTGTCTCGAGCTCGTCGGTGCCTCTCATGCAGTCGCCGCCGCAGCATTTGGCCAGGAGTTGTGCCAATCGAGCCTTCGATTCGGCAAGTTTCGAAGCTGATCTCGTCGACTTTATGGTTTCGCGGCCTCCGTGCGTGATCGGACTTGACCTGACCTGACCTCGAAGGCGATCGGGCAGGCAAAGGATGAGGATGAATCGCTCCAGAGCGTTCTGGAACGCTCTCAGAGCGTTCCCGATCGCTCTGAGACGGCGCGGCTCCCAATACACTCCCCAGCATCCAGACCCGTCAGCACTCAGAGATCGCGAGTTATCATCGTCCAGCTATGTTTTCATTTCCCGTCGTCTTAATTCGGCGAGCTCTTTGGATTGCAGCTACGACTTCTTGGATTTATCGAGCTGGCTCCCATCCAGACGGTACGCTCGCCTCACATCCTTCCTCCTCCCTCCCTCGTCCTTCCTCGTCCTCATTAATCCTCCTCTTTCTTCTCGCTAGCTTCTCGTTCTCTCGTTCTTTTGTTTGTTCTCTTTCTTTCTCTCTCTCTCTCTCGCGCGCGTTTTTTCTCTCTCGCTGCCCTCCCCCCTCTTGCTCTGTACACATATGTGCGTAGCACCCCGCAGTTGCTGATAAGAGTGAGGGGACGGCGGGGACGCTGGCAGTCTGCGAGGCTCTGAAGAAACCCGCCCCAGGCACTTGATTTACGAATTGCAGCGAGCCCGCCGCAGGTGCCGCTTTGTTCGTTTCGGTAAGGCAATGTGGGTGGGTCGCGGGTGGGTCGCGGGTGGATCGCGGGTGGATCGCGGGGTGGGTCGCGGAAAGGGTCGCGGAAAGGGTCGCGGATGGTTTGCGGGTGGGTCGCGGGCGGGTCACGGGTGTATCGCGGGTGGGTCGCGGGCTGGGTCGCGGGTGGGACGACGACAAAAAACAATAACAACAATAACAACAACAATAACAACAACAATAACAACAACGATAACAGCAACAAAAACAACAATCCGCACCGCGGAACGTTCTTTTAGCCAAGCGCCCAAGGACAGTGAATGGCCGTTCGGCCCCTTCATTTTGATACATATTTCTACATATATATATATATATACACACATACATGCAGATTCAGAAATACATGAATACATGTATGTATGCATCGCGCTCTCTCTCTCCCTCTCTCGCTAGGGCGCGTTGCTGTATTGCTCGGGGCATGGCGGGCGTCATGGCCCCTGGCCGCCCCCCCTATGACGTAACGCTCCCCCCCCAGTGCGTTCCGGGCACTACCGCCGTACGCATCGTGATCCGCACAGGTGTCCGCATAGGAATCTGCATAAGAGTCTGGTCCACAGTCGTCGTCGTCGACGTCGCCGTCGTCGTCGTCGTCGTCGTCGTTGTTGACGCTCGCCGCTCGTCGCTCGTCGTCGTCGTGCGCGCGGACGCAGCTGGAACCTGTTTTTCCCAACCATCCTGTGGTGTTGGGTCCTCGTTTTGAAGAGACGGTGCCCCGCGTTCCTCCTTCCTCCTCCTCCCCCTCCTCCCCTGCCTTCCCCCACCCAGGGCAGCGTTTCGTGGCCCCATAGGGAGCTCCACCGAAGGCCCCAGTGGGGGTGTCCACATGCGGTTCCCCCACCCAGGGCAGCGTTTCGTAGCCCCATAGGGAGCTCCACCGAAGGCCCCAGTGGGGGTGTTCGCATGCGGTTCCCCCACCCAGGGCAGCGTTTCGTGGCCCCATAGGGAGCTCCACCGAAGGCCCCAGTGGGGGTGTCCACATGCGGTTCCCCCACCCAGGGCAGCGTTTCGTAGCCCCATAGGGAGCTCCACCGAAGGCCCCAGTGGGGGTGTCCACATGCGGTTCCCCCACCCAGGGCAGCGTTTCGTAGCCCCATAGGGAGCTCCACCGAAGGCCCCAGTGGGGGTGTCCACATGCGGTTCCCCCACCCAGGGCAGCGTTTCGTGGCCCCATAGGGAGCTCCACCGAAGGCCCCAGTGGGGGTGTCCACATGCGGTTCCCCCACCCAGGGCAGCGTTTCGTAGCCCCAGAGGGAGCTCCACCGAAGGCCCCAGAGGGGGTGTCCACATGCGGTTCCCCCACCCAGGGCAGCGTTTCGTAGCCCCATAGGGAGCTCCACCGAAGGCCCCAGTGGGGGTGTCCACATGCGGTTCCCCCACCCAGGGCAGCGTTTCGTAGCCCCAGAGGGAGCTCCACCGAAGGCCCCAGTGGGGGTGTCCACATGCGGTTCCCCCACCCAGGGCAGCGTTTCGTAGCCCCAGAGGGAGCTCCACCGAAGGCCCCAGTGGGGGTGTCCACATGCGGTTCCCCCACCCAGGGCAGCGTTTCGTAGCCCCATAGGGAGCTCCACCGAAGGCCCCAGTGGGGGTGTCCACATGCGGTTCCCCCACCCAGGGCAGCGTTTCGTGGCCCCATAGGGAGCTCCACCGAAGGCCCCAGTGGGGGTGTCCACATGCGGTTCCCCCACCCAGGGCAGCGTTTCGTGGCCCCATAGGGAGCTCCACCGAAGGCCCCAGTGGGGGTGTCCACATGCGGTTCCCCCACCCAGGGCAGCGTTTCGTAGCCCCATAGGGAGCTCCACCGAAGGCCCCAGTGGGGGTGTCCACATGCGGTTCCCCCACCCAGGGCAGCGTTTCGTAGCCCCATAGGGAGCTCCACCGAAGGCCCCAGTGGGGGTGTCGCATGCGGTTCCCCCACCCAGGGCAGCGTTTCGTGGCCCCATAGGGAGCTCCACCGAAGGCCCCAGTGGGGGTGTCCACATGCGGTTCCCCCACCCAGGGCAGCGTTTCGTAGCCCCATAGGGAGCTCCACCGAAGGCCCCAGTGGGGGTGTCCACATGCGGTTCCCCCACGGGCAGCGTTTCGTAGCCCCAGAGGGAGCTCCACCGAAGGCCCCAGTGGGGGTGTCCACATGCGGTTCCCCCACCCAGGGCAGCGTTTCGTAGCCCCAGAGGGAGCTCCACCGAAGGCCCCAGTGGGGGTGTCCACATGCGGTTCCCCCACCCAGGGCAGCGTTTCGTAGCCCCATAGGGAGCTCCACCGTAGGCCCCAGTGGGGCTGCCCTCATGCGGTTCCCCCACCCAGGGCAGCGTTTCGTAGCCCCAGAGGGAGCTCCACCGTAGGCCCCAGTGGGGGTGCCCGCATGCGGTTCCCCCACCCAGGGCAGCGTTTCGTAGCCTCACAGGGAGCTCCACCGAAGGCCCCAGTGGGGCTGCCTGCATGCGGTTCCCCCACCCAGGGCAGCGTTTCGTAGCCCCAGAGGGAGCTCCACCGAAGGCCCCAGTGGGGGTGCTCGCATGCGTCTCCACTACCCAGAGGTAGCGCCGCCGAAAACGATATTCACACTTGCGGTATTCACAGTTGCATATGGTTGGGTCCTTCGCCAGGCTAATTTTATTCCGGGCCGATGACGGCAATCATTTGGGGGGGGGAGGGTGTCGACGACGAGACGTTTAGCGCCGGCGGCGTCTGGGAATGCCTGGGAATGACCGAGGACGGGTAGCAGCAGCATGTCGGTGGCAATCTGCACCACAGCGCCTGTGTACACCAGTGCCCGTGTGCACCACAGCGCCTGTGCACACCACACCGCCTATGTACACCACAGCAGCCGCGTGCATCACAGCGCCAGTGTGTGCCACAGTGCCTGCTGGCACTACAGCGCTTGTGTACACAACAGCGCCTGCGTACACCACATCAGCCGTGTGCAACACAGCACCAGTGTACACCACAATGCCTGCGTGCACTACAGCTCCTGTGTACACCACGCCTCCTGTGTGCACACCAGCAACCGTGTGCAACAAAACACCACTGTTGTATATAAAATATGTAAAGGAATACGTATTACAAAATGGAGCGCCTGTGGATTCAACCGATAGCAAGTATTATATAGGATTCGGAAAACCAAGTGGGCGAATTCAATCGACCATTCTGCGCTGCACGCACAGACACGCACGTGCGGTGTAGTGCCGACCCGCACGACAGGGGGGAAGGGTGAGGGAGGAGGAGGACGAGGACGAGGAGGAGGAGGAGGACGAGGAGGAGGAGGAGGAGGAGGAGGTGGAGGAGGGAGGAGGGAAGAAGGTCGCATATTATTATTACTACTACTACTACTACTGCTACTGCTACTGCTACTGCTACTGCTACTGCTACTACTACTACTACTACTACTACTACTACTACTACTACTACTACTACTACTACTACTACTACTACTACTACTACTACTACTATTTATCAGCACTTCCCTGGCGTGGCGTTTAGTTGTCCGCAGCAGATCCTCACCGACATGCTCCTTTTACTTGTCCTGTGCACGAAGGCGTTCTGGTGTAAACCAGCGCTGCGTTGCACGCGGATGTTGTGGTGTAGCCAGGCGTTGTGGTGTGCACAGGCGTTGCGGTGCACGTAATAAGCAGTGTGGTGTAGACAGGCGCTGTGTTGCACATGGCTGCTGCGGTGTACACATTCGTTGTGGTGTACACTGGCACTGTGGTGCTCGCAAGCACTGTGGTGTACACGGGCTGCGTTGCACACGGCTGTTGCGGAGAACGCAGGCGATGTGGTGCACACAAGCGCTGTGGTGCACGCCAGCACTGTGGTGTACACAGGCGCTGTGGGGCAGATCGCCACCTAAATGCTGCTCGCGTCGTCGTCGTCGTCGCTCGTCGCTCGTCGCTCGTCGCTCATCGTCGTCGTGCGCGCGGGCGCGGCTGTGGTGCCGGAGCCGCACGGCGGTGGGGGGCGGCGTTACGTCATACCCCCCCGCTTCCCCCCCATTAAGCCCGTCATCGCCGATGATAAAGAAACGCGTTCCTATCGCTATCGCTATCGCTATCGCTATCGCTGTCTCTCTCTCTCTCTCTCCCTCTTTGTTTTTCCTATTCCTCTCTCTCTCTCTCCTCCTTCATCCTGCACCCCGTTGTTCCGGTCCCGCCGCCGCCGTTGCAGCTCCTCCTCCTCCTCCTCCTTCTCCTTCTCCTCCTCCTCCTCCTCCTCCACCTCTTCTGCTTTCATCTTGTAGTCTGCGAGGTCAGCCCTGTTCGCCGAGATGCGGCTGCTGCAGTTCCTGGGGCTGCGCATGGAGGAGCGCTTCTGAAAGAACAAAGGAGGCCTTCGGTGGTCCCTGTGAGTACGGCAGGTTCGCTCCGGGTCGACGCGGCGGCGACCCCGGATTGTCCGTTCAAGATTGACCGCCGCCCGCGGTCTGGAGTCGGCCGGCATCGCATTTTCGGCGCCATCGGAGAGCCGCGATCGTTCCCACCGATCCTCGCGCTGTCAGGAACCAGCGCGGGCGTCATCGCGACGTGCGCCTGCCGCAGGCAGGCGCCTGCCTGGTGGTTCTGGGAGGCGGGGGGTGAGAGGCAGGGACAACATGAGGAGGGTATGGGTTCGGGGGGGCCCCCGTGGCCCACTGCTCGCCGATAGTGGCAGGATAGCCCGCCCCGCCCAGGAGCGTGTGGTCTCGCTATCGTGGGCCTGTCGCCGATCTGTTGGGGAGGCGTCTCCGATTCCATCTCGATGTTCCCCCCCCCGAGCCGTTTCCCGCCCTGTCGTTCGTCTTCATGAATGGCCTGATCTCCGACGTCTTGGTCTTCTCGCGATGCGGGCCCCCCAGAGTCACGTTAGAGCTGTTTGGGGAGCCTCTTGCGCAGTTTTGGGGCGATGTTTGAGGCATCGTGGTCCGCTTCGGGCAGCCTGAAAGGCGAGAGCGAGGAGCTCTTGGACCAAAAACAATCGTAATAAGTGATTCTATAGGCTTACACCACATCCGCCGACCCCTCTATAAACTACGGCGTCTCCAGGACTGCATTCCACGAGGCTTGTCCGAATCGTAACACGGCGCTCGACATCGTTCCTGTTGCCTCGTTGCTGTTATCGTATTTTCCGGGACCCACGCTTCGTCCCGATCCGTTCCCTGGCGGCCCCCGGTGGGCTCCGAGACGGCTTCCCGATCTCTCGCGGGCCTCTTCGAGGCAGTTTCGAAGGGTCTTGGGGGCCGTTTTGGGGCTTCTTTCGGGCCTCTTCGGGGCTCCTTGGGGCCTCTTGGGTGTCTCATGGGGGCCTCTTGGGGCCGCTTGGGGGCCTCTTGGGTCCTCCAGAGAGCTTCGTTGGGCGGAGCGCTGGAATTCGCGGTCCGTAGTCCCTTTCTTGGGCCCTCTTGGGGCCGTCTTGGAGCTCTCTTGGGCCGTCTAGGGCGCCTCTTGGGCCACGTTGGAGTTTTTTTGGGTTGTCTGTGGGGCCTCCTGGGATCCTCGTGGGCCGTCTTGGGGTGGTCCTGGGGGCCTCGTGGGTGCCTCGTGGACGGTTTTCAACGCCGTGAAGGCTAACAAGTTTGATGTGCTGAAGGTGCACGTTTCCCCAAAGGAAATTTCAACATTTTGGTTTCTCGGGGACTTCTTGGGAGGCCTCTTGGACGCTTCGTGGGGTGTCCTGGCGGTCTCTTGGGCCGTTTTGAGCTCATCTTGGGCGTCTTGGAACGATCTTTCGGCGACTTGAGGTTCTCGTGGGCCGTCTTGGCGGCTTCTTGGGAGGCGTCAAGTGCTGTCGTGCAGCTCAAGAGCGAGCCCGGGGAGCCCAGACCGCCCCGGGTGAGTTCGGTCCGGGGCCGCCCGGGGCCGGGGGGGGGGGGTCAGTATCCCGGTTTGGGTCCTTGGGGGAGGATGGTGGGGGGGGAACAATCTCACACGCCTGGAGACCCACAAGGGGTCGGCGGACTTGGGTCTGAGGAGGCCCCCTTGGGGGTCGTCTTGGGCAGTTTTCATTGCCTCTTCGGCCCTCGTGAAGGCATCTTTGTCCGACTCGGGGCTATCTTGATGCCACCTTGGACTGCTTGAGAGTCGTCTGGAACAATCTTTGCGCGCGTGGGGCAGGCCATTCCGCCATCACTTTTTGCCCGTCCTCCCTTCTAAATTGGCCGGACTGGGCTCCCAGAGGAGATGCGTGGGAACGGGTAGCAATCTCTCACACGCTGAGGAGCCCCAAGGGGACGTCGATTTTGATCATCGCCTCCAAACCACAACGATTTTTGGGAGAGCAGGGGAACAGGCCAGTACCCCGCGTGACCCCTTCGACTCTTGGTCTCTTTGCCCGATTTGGAACCTGCGCCACCGGCGAATCTAGTTGGACTTGCTGGAATGCAAGTCCTGTGAGGTCAAATTCTGACTTTGCCCTGGTCCGAAATCCGGCTTAATCTGGTTGATTCACGCTTAATCCCGCTCAATCTGGTTTCATCCGGCTCAATCCCGCTTAATTTGCGGCCTCATTTGGCGTAGCAGCCCTCCAGATGGGGCCAAGTTCTCCTCTTAAACCTTCCGACGAGGACCTCCCAGCAGGCAGCTGCCCCCTGATAGTTGGACCTGGCGGCAGTTTTGAGCCCGCAGCAGCAGAGTGCGCTCTGCGCGCCAGCGCCCCTCGGCACGCGGAGGACATCCCGCACGACGGCGCGCGTCGGCCCGCAGAGGGTGTGTAGTGCACGACGGCGGCGGGCGGCGGCACGCAGAGGTCATCGTCGTCGTCCTCGTCGTCGTGGTCCTCGTCGTCGTGGTCCTCGTCGTCGTCGTCGTGGTCCTCGTCGTCGTCGTCGTCGTCGTTGTCGTTTTCGTCGTCGTCTTCGTCCTCGTCGGGGATGGCGTATGCCCTCGCTGGCTGTGGCAGTGCCTCCGTGGCACGGCGGCCTGCGCCCTCCGTGAGCGACGACTTCGGGGTCCAGGTTTAAAATTGCCCGCCAGTCGTTGAAGGCAGGCGTTTCTGGATCCCCAGGTCCCAGCCTGCTTTTTAGGCGCCTTTCCACTTCAGTCCTCGAGGGCTTCTTCATCTTCCTTCTCTTCCAGGGGCGGCCGGAAGCCCGATCTGCTTCCAACGCCTTCCTGCTTCGTGTTTCTACCCACTTCTCCCGACCGACGGGTAGTTAGGGTGCTCCCAGAGGATGTGCTGGGGTGATGGTTCAAGTCTTCGGGGCGGGAGACCCCTCTGCGCGCGGAGGAGCTCGCGCACCTGCCCCACGAGATGCCGGTCGCGCCAGGAGAGCCTCTTCTCTTGTCTCCGGCTGGCTCCCTCGGCCTTGGACCGTGAACGCCGCACACCCGCCCCTGGCGGGGAGCGGGGGCAACAAATCCGCCTGTTTGGGCCGGTGCCCGAGGCCGAAAAGTGGCCGCGCACACGCGCGGGTTGGTGAGCGGGCGCCTGGGATGCCACAGGGGCCAGGAAAGACACGCTTACGGTTCACTGGGACACAGGAAGTAAGGAAGAAGAAACGCGCGGCATCGTCACACGGTTGTTCACCTTTTCCTTCGCTTGTCCGCTTGCCTTCGAGATGAGCCAGGGTCCGCGGACGACTTGCGTGCACCTTGCCGTGTCGACGTCTGTCGCAGCGTCGTCGATCCTAGATCCAGGAACGGTACGGTGCACAGTTGCTCCGCCCTCAGAGCCGAACGACTGCACCGTCCCCTTGGAGCGGTGCTTGAATGGAGTCCAGTCACGGTGCGGTGCATGGCCCTCCATTCTCGTAAAGGTGGGGGAGTGAGCTGGAGGTGGGCTCCAGGCCGCTCGCATTGGGGGGGATCCGAGCAGATGGGTCCGAGCATCGCCGATGCATCGTTGATGCGGCTCCGATTCGGAGCCCGTTTTTCTCCATCCCTATGTCGCCGATGCCTCGTTGATGCATCGACCATGCGGCGCAATCCTCTGACCCCGTCTATTCGGACCCCATTGGGGCGGCATCCATGAGAAGCGTGCCGCGCGCGCCCCCTTTATGGAAGCACGCGGCGGCGGCAGCGGCGGCGACAGGGATCTTGTTGGAGCAGGCGGGGCAGGATGGTTTCAAGCGTGAGCAGGAGCATGAGGGATGGAGGGGGAGGGAGGGAGGGAGGGAGGAGAAGGGCAGGTGACGATGATTATGATGCTGATGTTTATGCTGATGCTTCTGCTGCTGCTCATGCGGCTGCTGCTGAGGCGGAGGAGGAGGAGAAGGAGGAGGAGGAGGAGGACGAGGGGAAGGAGGACCATGATGGAGGACCTCCCGGGAAGGCGAGGAGGAGAGGAAGAGGCGGATGATGAAAGGACGGCATGATCACGGAGGGGTGGGTAAAGAGCAGGGGGGGAGGATGGGGGGATGGGTGGGGTGAGGACACCGGAGCGAGCAGGGCGGGAGGAGGGGGATGCAGCATTGCCGTGTCTTTGCGGCGGCCGCCTGCTGGTGGCGTCGGCGGGTTCGGCGCCCCCGCCCCCCTGAATCCTGCCTGGAGAGGAGGGACAGGATGGAGCGCAGGGAGGAGGAGGAGGAGGAGGAGGAGGAGGGCGAACGCTACGAGCCCGAGTTTGAAGTCCGATCAGCATCAAAGGGAGGGAGGAAGAGGAGGGGGGAGGAGGAGGAGGAGGAGGAGGAGGAGGAGGAGGAGGAGGAGGTGGAGGAGGAGGGGTCGAATGGCAGGCTGAGCCTGTCAGCGCTCCCTGGGGCCACCCTCTCCCCCCTGGTTCCCTCGTGCCGCGGCTGGACTGTGGGAGAACAGGTTTGGTGGCTCGCGCTGTCTGCAGTGTTGTAGTGCATTCCTGGCATCGATGCTGTACAGTGCGCTCGCTTTGCTCTTTTTTCCTTTCTGTCTCTGTTCCGAATTTGGGCATCAACCTTCTTGCCCTCAATGCATGAATGAATGAATGAATGAGGGGGAGGGGAAGGAGGGGAAGGAGGGGAGGAGGGAGGGAGGGAAGGAGGGAGGACCGCCAGCACGACAACCACCACGACCATCGCCACCACCACGGCCACCACCAGCGGCATCGCGACGATCACCACGACCACCGCCAGGATCGAGTCCTTGGTCGCAGCGCCGACGGCCACGGCCACGACCACAACCACGACCACCACGACCACCACGACCGCCCCGACCGCCTCCGCCCCCCGCCGTTCCTCCGCGACGACCGCCAGTACGACAACCATCATGACCACCGCCAACACGACCACCACCAGCGGCATCGCGACGCTCACCACGACCACCGCCAGGATCGAGTCCGTGGTCACAGCGCCGACGGCCACGGCCACGACCACAACCACGCCCGCCCCGAAAGTCCCCGCCCCCCGCCGTCCCTCTCCCTCCTTTCCTTTCCTCGCCCCTTCCGGGCCGCCCCTGCTTCCACGCGCGCCTAGCGCGCAGCTATTATTTCCTCCTCCTCTTCCCCCCTGGCCCCAGGTCAGGTCTCAACAGGTGGCCTTCCTTGAACCCTGGAGGCCATAGTTTGCCGAAGAGCTGCGTAGTCGAGGACGGACTGGCCTCTTCCCCTGCTTCTGCTTGCTGGCCCGCCTTTGTCCTTCCCTTCGTTAGCCGGGAGGGAGGGAGGGAGGGAGGGAGGGAGCTGGGGAGGGAGTTGGGGAGGGAGGGAAGGAGGAAGGAAGGAAGGAAGGAAGGAAGGAAGGAAGGAAGGAAGGAAGGAAGGAAGAAAGGGAGGAGGAAGGGGAAGGAAGGAGGATGAGGAGGAGGAGGTGGCACAGCCCGTTCCGCCGCAGGCACCGCGGTGACCGAGGAGGTGAAGGCGCGCCCTGTGACGTCGGCGGGCTGTCTGCGCCCGCCCCCTCGCGGCGATGCGGTGCACCAGCTGGCGGGTCCAGCCGTGCACCGTCGGCGCCCGTTGTGCTCGGCGTGGAGGAGGATCGTCGGCCACACGCGCCCTCAGATCTTGGCGTTGCAATGTTCTCACATCGCGCATGTTCGCTCAATTTCGGGCCCCGGGGCCCTCACAGATCGAACGGGCCCTAAAAATGACGCAGGGAGGTGGGGTCTGGGGCTCCAGTCGTGATTTTTGGCGATGGTCGATTTGTTTTGACAACGTCGGATCTCAGGGTAAGAGCGGCTTATCGCTGGAGTGATCTTTGGGGCAGGCGGACATGGGCCCCCCTTGGCACCTGGTCTGCGCGCTCGGACTTCGCCTACCCGCGGACGCGTAGAGCCGCGCACCAGAGGTTACTCTTGCCAAGTAGGGTCGCTCCTGCGTGTGCAGTCGGGGCCCTGAAGAAGAAACCCTTTTCGTTGGGGAGGGGCTCGGTGTTCCTTACCTTAAGTGTTTCACAGCTTGCCTCTGGCTTTCCTTCTGTTTTCGTCCGGAAATCGAAGGTTAACTTGTGGAGAAGAGGGGCCTCGTTCCTTATTTATCGTTCCTTAGGTCAACGCTCCGACTGTAGTCGAGATCGTTGTGAGCGGACATGAAGGAAGCTCGGGCGGGGGGCCAGGACCAGGATAGATCCGTTCCAGAGCGTTCCAGGGCGCTCTCAGAGCGTTCTGGGACGCTCCGAGAAGGCCGCGGCGCCCGTCTTCCAGAGCCGCCAGCTGTCAGAGATTCTCGATTTATCCTCACCCGGTTGTACCCTCGTCCTGGCTTCGTCTTAGAAGCGGGTCCTGAAGGAAACAGGTCCTGAGGTTTTTCACCGCTCAGCGCTTCCCGGGGCCCTCCACATGCCCCGGGACTGTCAGAAAACGGTTCGGGAATGAAGAAGTGGCACTGGCCCCAGGGTCCAGGACCCGTTTCCCACATGACCCGTTTGTTTCATGCTAAGGAGGGGGAGATTGGCGTCGTGAGGGGCTCGCGGGTCGAGATCCGACGGCTCAAGGATCGAGGCTCCTCGTCGTTCTCCGCCTTGGTTGGGCCTTCTGGGGGTGTCCCCGTCGCAGCGGCTGGGTCAGCCGCGCTATTTGGGCCAGAGGCCGCATCCGAGGCATGTCTGGGAATCAATCGCGTAAGAGTCGCCATGAAGGAACGGGGTTCTCGGTAAGGTTCCTTCCTGGAGTAGCTCTTCTTTGTTCTCGGACCCCCGTGGCCCGAGCCAGGCTTTGGGAACGCAACACACGCACTTCGGCGCGATACGCGGTCCTGCGGAAAGCTCTGAGTGTCGTCGAGGACACGCTTCCATTGGGGCCCGTTTCTGCCAAGGCCGACCCGATCCCCAGGGACGTCGCTGTGAGAAAAGACGCGGCGGGCGTATTTACTGAATTCTAAATGCTTCGCGTAACCCCACCAGCAAGGAGCTTGGCGCCGCAAGGGCGCCTTTCCCCGCAGCTCGCACCTCTGTGCGCTAGGTGCGTCCCAGTGAATGCTGAGCATTTTGCTCAGTGCACGTGCATTGCACGCCTCGCGTGGAATTTGCCTGTTCCGCCGTCCTGGACGCGCCTGTTGCCGCCAGACCATTGTCGCGCGGCCGCCGACCCCAAAAAATAACCCCACCAGCTGTGCGTCCCAGCGACCCCGTCAGCCCGGGCCCTCGCCCCCTTCTCCTGCGGCTCCTCCCCTGGGGCTGAAGGCTCCCGAGTGCACGTGGTTCAGCCTGTGCGCTTCTGGCTGTCGGCTGGCCGTGTTGATCTGTTCCACGGTCCTTGGCGGCAGCGCCCACGGCATTCCCTTGCCTTTCGGCCTGGAGTTGAGGTGTGGACCTTCCTGTTCCAGCAGCCCTCCGTCGCCGGCTCCAGCTTGAGAGTGCGTGTGGCTACCTGATCTGGTGGTTCGGGAGCTGACGGTGTCGAGTACATCCATCGTGTCCCAGGCTACCCTGCCCGTCCCTGAGTAACTTCGTGGACGGTCTTCGCAGGATCAGTACTTCCCAACGGGAACCGGGTGTGCGACTTTGGTGGCGCCACTCAGTGCACCAGTTTGGGCCTCCCGGCACGCTTGACAGTCGTCGCAGATACTGGCTCGCCGCCTTCCTGGTCCCACCCTGGTATGCAGCTCGCGCCAGTTTGGCCGCGCCCCAACCTCGGTTGGTCAATTTGCACGTTGCCCTGGTTCAGCTCGCTGGCAGCCGCAGCCTGCACCCCCCCACCCACCGGCCCTGCCCGCCGTGGTGATGCCTGAGGCCCCGCCGGCTTTAGGCAATTCGTCTTTACGCGGCCCGCTCTGACTCGACTCGCCGCTTGCGCTCTCGCCTGCGGCTGCTGACTAAACAAGTACACCCACCAGCCCATCCAGAAACGATGCCCAGAGGAATTGCCTCGATCATCATCACCTACCAAACCACCCCAACCCAACCTGAAGGCCCCAATTTGGCCTCCATTTCCAGTGGGGGGGGTGTCGGGGATTTTTTTTTTTTTTTTTTTTTTTAAAAAAAAAAAAAAAAAAAAAAAAAAAAAAAAAAAAAATGGAGCCCGTACCCCCCCCCCAACCCGAAATTCTAGTCAAATTGAGGTTTTCGGGTTGGGTTGGGGTGGTCTGGTAGGTAGTCAGATCAGGGAAGTGGACAGGACACAGATGGTCTCCCAGTGGAGGCCTCTTGGAGCGTCTTGGGTACCTCGGAGAGCTTCTTGGGGCCTCTTGGGGGTCTCGTGGGAGCATCTTGGAGGCCTCTTGGGCGCCTGTTGGGGCCTCCTGGGCGCCTCTTGGGGCCCTTTTGCAGCGCTCTTGGAAGCCTTTGGAGCACTCTTTGGGCCATCTTGGAGGACACCGATCAAACAAGAAGAGAGCATTAGTTAGCGTTCCCCCTCGGGAGCCTAAAACATAGAATATCGCCTCTTGTGGCGCTCTTTGGGCCGTCTGGGGGCTCTCTTGGGCCTCTCTTGGAGCCCTCTTGGACCATTGTGGGGCCATCTTGAGGCATCGGATGGCCATCGGAAGCGAAAAGGCGAGAACACCAAACACAGATTTTCCTAAGGCTTTGGCCTCTTCGGGGCCTCCTGGGGGAGCTCTTTGGCCACTTGGAGCCGTCTTGGAGGGGTCTTGGGGCATCTTGGAGCACCGTGGGAGCCAGAAGGAGACATCTTGGGATATCTTGAGCCATCTTGGAGATCATCCTGGGCTCTCCCAGGCGCTCTTGGAGTCATCTTAATCAGTGCCTCCCCCCCGGACCCCCCCCGCGGGAGCTCGGCACAAGAGGGCCGGCGTCAAGTCGGGCCTGTCCCCCTACAGGAGGGATATTCCAACATAGTCCAAAAATTGTCTGGGACGATCTTTTGTTTATTGTTGACAAGTTTGGAGCATCTCTTGATTATTTTATATTTTTCATCCAAAATCCGTTTGTAGGGGGACATGCCCGGGCTAAGGACAGCGTTGCTCGCCGTGGGAGGCGCCGCGCAGAAGGGAAGGAAGGAAGGAAGGAATGGGATGGGACGCCCCCGGAGGGAGGTCGAGCGCTGTCCTGCCCGGGGCTTCGTCTTCGTGCTCGCCGACGTCTCTCTCTCTCTCTCTCTCTCTCTATCAGCTTTGCTTTTTTTATCTCTCTCTCTCTCTCGTTCCCTCGTGTTGCGCTCCGTCCTGAGCTTCCTCGCTCGTCACTACCTCCTGCCCGTCCCCCTTTCCCCCATTCCGCATCGTCCTCTTTAACTGATCGCCCCTCTTTTTTCCCTGCCCTCTTCCTCTGCTGACCCTCCTGGTCGCACTGCGTCCTCAGCCCGTCTCGTTCCCGAGTCGCGAAGGAGTGACGCCTGCGACCTGGGCCCCCCCCGCCTCCCGCCCAGGCCCAGTACTGCCCCTGGTGGTACATGCCCGGCATGCACAAGGCCACAGATGGGAATTGCATACAGTCAGCACGCTGAACAAGAGCACTCGTGGCTCGGGACGGGTCTGAGCTGGTGACTGGGCTGACGTCGGGGAATCTGCTCTGCTCGAGGCCCATCCTGGCCATAAATACCCCCTCGTTCCTCATGTCAGATTCCTCAACGCGTTGACTGTACGCCGCTACTGGCCAAGGCCAATCCTCGGACACCTCGACCGGCGGAAGCGGCAAATGCGGCAAGTTCGTTCAAGGCTGAACGCCCTCTGGCGGCTCGTTCTGGGCCCAGGTGTCCAGAGAAGCCCGCCCACGGCACGAAATCCATCCGCAGCTGAGCGACGCAGAAGAACGGGGTCGCCTTCGCCGACATTGGCGCGTAAGCTGCCCGCGTAAGGTCGGGAGGAAGTACCCTCGTTTCCAGTGTTGCGTGCCGCGCTGGCGGCCCACGCAAGCTGCGGCGTAAGGTCGCTATGCCATCTCGCGCAAGACACGTTTCTTTTCGTCCCTCGGGTAGGGGGCAGCCTCCTTCGGGACGTCACAGAGCGGGGATCGTTCAGGATCGAGGTGTTCACGCGGTGTCGGAAATCGGGGCCCACGTCGTCAAGCCTGGATCTTGGCATTGACCTTCAATCGTGAGGCCAGCACGTTTGGCACCAAGCCCCACTCAGGAAGCCTTCGGTCGGGAGGGATGCAACGTCTATCAGTTTCATGCGCGGCGCTTTTCAAAGTGTGCGTGCCACTCCCTCGCTGGCTGTACCAGAAGCAAAACATGTGTTCGGCAGCAGCACGCTGATAGGAGTCCTCCGGCTGGCGTGGCAGTAATGCTGATTCTGCCCCCCGATTTGGGCATGTGTCGGATCAGCTCTGCCGCCCTTCGGGCCGCCGCATGGTGAGAACCCCCGCGGGTTCAGCAGGCCCGAAGGAGCGAGTAATAACAAATGTGGCGCTCCAGAAACGGCCTCGTCTTCGAGGTATCGAGAAGTTTGCATACATTCCGCGGAGGCCGGCGGAAACAAAACGGGGGCGGCTCCACCGGCGGAACCAACAGAAACATGTGCCCTCAAGATACGTTTTCAACAAGTCAGAGTTGCAGGAGTCGCACATCTCAGCGGGTGTGGGGGTCAAGAATGAAGCCGCTGTGCTTGGGGTGCCCGTCTCACACTGTTGCCTGGGTAGGCGGCGGGTGCAATCAGGGTATAGCTGCCGCAAGAGTCCAGACTATGCCTGAGTTGGCCATGACCCAGGGTGTCCCCCGCTTTTCTGGGGAGGCTCGGACGGCCAGAATGGCGCGAAAAGGCGGGGTCACCTCAGGCCCTCCGCTCTGGGCGGAGGGCGCTTGACAGGGCACGGATCAGAATCCTGTTGTCCAGAGGCTCGATGTCGAGTGGCGCACGGCAGCGCCGGCCAGGGCGCCACCGACGGGTTCGCGACCTTCTACATGATCCGGGACATGCAGCGGCGCACGCCAGGCTGGATGCCCGGGGGTTGAGCCCATGTTCGGCCGCCTCCTGGCTCGGGGTGCGCGCCGCGCCGAGAAAAGTCGCCGCGGGGAGGGGGGGGGGGGATCGGGCGGGGGCAGCGCCATGCGGAGATGCGGTCCGGAAAGTTGGCTTCGCATGTCGCGCCGCTTGTTTTGGCCCACGCATCGGCGCGACACGGGATCCACGCCCCAGTCCCCGAGCGTCAATGTCGTCAGCCTTTCCCAGCCTCCCGCCCCGCGGAGCGGAGCGACACTTTATCCGCTCGCAGGGCGTGGCGTGTCGCCAGGGCCGCCGCCGCGACGCGCTCAGCAAAAGTTCCTGACCGATGGCTCCCAGGGGGGATGCATCGACCACCAGCCGCCCATGGATCGCAGATAGGTGCCTGACAACCCGCTCCGTCCAGGAGCGTGCGGATGCGTCGTCGAGAGCCAATCGCCGATCCATGGGCGGCTCAATGTCTCTTTCCCCCCTGAGTCAGTCACCCCTTCTCGTTCCCCCTTGCGATGGGGTCGAGCAGGCCCTGGAAGAGAAGACCATGAGGCATTCCAGAACTCGAAAGAGAAACATATTCGAAACAAACACGTGCATAACCATGAGTGTTCAGAGGTCCGCGCGGATTTCTTGGATCTGCAACTGACCCCCCAGCGGCGCCCCCGTTGCCGCCCCAGGCGCGCTCCGCCTAGCGCCGATCCGAGGAATCCGCGCGGACATTCAAAGGTCATGTTTGCGCAGGTCTTTCGTCTTTTACATACGTTGTCCCAGAACGCTTTCCGATGATGTGAGAGCGTTATGGAACGAACCACTCACTTCACAGGTTCTGGAACGATATGAGGTCGTTCCAGGACTTCGCAGGCGGTTTCTCTCCCCCAATCCCCGAGTTCCGCCCGAAAAGTTTGGCCGCTCAGAAACGGGGGAAACCTTGGGAGACACCCCAACGGGGCTCTTTGGACGCAACCTTGATTATCGAGGATGGACGCCCCCCTGTCGTACATCCCATGGCTGGGCCCGACAGGTTTGGTCCATTCGGCAACCCCGAGAGGCCTGGGACAGGGGTCGACATATCCCGTGTTAGAACTGCTCGTTTGCACGCTCTGGGAGCCTTGCCGAACGACCTGATCGTCTCAGCCGGGGTGCTCTTGGACGGCCGCGGCCCCGGGTACTTACTCCAGAGAGCCGCCGGGCCTCAGAGGTTCGTGAGCTCCCTCGTCCCGATCCCGTCCCCTCTTCGCCTCCTTCGAGGGCGCCCTCGAGGGCGCGAAATGATTTGCGCTCCGCGGTTCGGCTCCAGTTCCTCATCCTCCTCTTCTCCCTAGAAGGGCGGCGCGAGAGCACGAAGTTATCCGCGCTTCGCGCAGCGCGGATCGCGAAATTAGGCGCACTTGCGTCTTCAGGGAACGAGGGATGAGGGTATCGAAGAGGTCATCGGATACACATCGTGATTGCGATGAGGCCGGGAGGGGGGTATGAGGGAGAGACTCAGTGGGAAACGATGCCGACGGGGGCTGGAGGGGTATTCAGGAGGAGTAGCGGGAGATCGATGAAGGGGCGATTGAGATGAGGAGGGTCGGGGGGGCAACGCGAGAATCACAGAAGCATCGCAGAGGCATCGCATAAGCCTCTCGGAAGCCGCGCAGAAGCTAGTCAGAGGCCTCGCAGAGGCCTGGCTCTTTCTAAGAAGCCTCGCAGAGGCCTCTGAGAAGCCTCTCAGAAGCTTCGCAGAGGCCTTGCAGATGTCTCTCGGGAGCTTCTTATAACTTATCAGAAGCTTCGCAGGACCCTGTCATACGCCTCGCAGAAGCCTGTCAGAGGCCTCGCAGAAGCCTCGCAGTGGCCTCGCAGAAGCCTGTCACAAGCCTGGCAGAAGCCTCGCAGAAGCGTCGCAGAGGCCTCTGAGAAGCCTCTCAGAAGCCTCGCAGAAGACTCCCAGAAGCCTCGCAGAAGCTTCGCAGAAGCTTCGAGGCGTTGCAGAAGCCTCGCAGAAGCCGATCAGGAGATTGTCAGAAGCTTCGCAGAAGCATCTAAGAAGCCTGTCAGAAGCCTGTAAGTAGCCTTTTCAGAAACCTGTCGGAAGCCCCTCAGAAGCTTTTTTATGAAGCCTATCAGCTTACCAGAAGCCTTTAAGAAGCCTTTGCGAAGCTTGTAAGATGGCCCCACAAATGCCTTTAAGAGGGCCCCCAAAGGCCTCAAAGAGTTTTTTAAACAAAAAAATGATTATTGCCCTGGCCAACGCTGGTCCCAACGGCCAGGGTTGGATCCACCGAGTCGGGAGAAGTACCCTAGCCGAGATGTGTCCTAATATCCCCCACACCAGTGCATCCCCGGAGCCTCCCCCCGAGCTGACCAGCCCCCCCGGAGCTTCCTGGTATGCTCCTCGTAGGTCCCAGACGGGCCAACGTTGCTCCTGGACGGCCCAATAAGCTCCCAAGACGCCCCAAGATGGCTCCTGTGGCCATTTTGGCTCAAGCAATTTTGGCTCAAGCCACTCGGGCTCCAGGTTGGCTCGAGTGTTTCTGGCGCTCGCCTTCACTTCTTGCACTATACTTACAGATCTGTGTTTCATTATTTTCGCAGATGGCGCGTGTTCTATTGATCGCCAGCCTAGGCCTGGCCCGCGGTGCGTTCGCACTGACCCCAGCAGGCGACCCCGAGGTTGTGCAGATGCTGCGGGGCACTCCGTCAACGTCGATGATGAGGTTGGGCAGGGAATTCTTCACGCACGCTGACGTGCCTATCTACCCCCGCACGAACCATGGTGACACAGATGTGCAGCGGAGAAGTGCACCCACAATGTCGTCGGTGCCAATCTACCCCCACGCGGTCGAGAGGCACCGGCTGTGGATTCTCGAGTTGGTTAGCAACGCTACGGATCAGGAATTACAGTTTCTTTGCCAGGGGATCCAGAATTGTAAGATGAGCAACCCAGGTTCGGGCGAGTTACCATTTGTGGTGGTGCGTCTGACACTAGATGAGCTGAAGTCGCTGCTGGATGAATACCCCGTTCTCGTGAAGTTTGCCGAAGAGGATGTGTTTGAGACCATGAACCTGGAGCCCATCTATGCAGACGACAGTCCACTGGAGCGGCAGACATACCCATGGGGCATCCAGTCCATCAAGGCTGACGGGAGCCGGGGACGGGGCGTGGGGGTGAACGTGTACGTGCTGGACACTGGCATTCGCACAACCCACGACTCGTTCGGCGGGCGGGCCTTCGCTGGAGTGGACGTGGCCACCACGGGAAGTTTCACATTGTGCGCGCCGAGCAGCACGACGTGCGCTGCAGACCGCCATGGGCACGGCACCCACGTGGCGGGCACGGTGGGGGCCTCGACATATGGCGTCGCGGATGGCGCGACCCTCTGGGCAATGAAGGTTCTCGACGATCTTGGGTACGGTTACGTCATGTGGTCCATTCTGGCCGAGCAGTGGGTGTTGTCGTCTGGTGCCAGGCCAGCGGTGGTCAGCATGAGTCTCGTAGGTGTTGGCAGGAGCATAGCAGAACAGGACTCTATCGACAAGTTGGTGGAAGATGGCGTGACCGTGGTGGTGGCTGCAGGGAACCAAAATACGGATGCATGCGGCTACAATCCGTCTTGGATCTCGTCAGCGATCACGGTGGCGTCTTACGGCGGATCTGTAGGATCGTCACCCGCCAGATCGCCCTTCAGCAACTACGGCAGCTGCATCGACGTCTGGGCTCCGGGCTCAAGCATCCTCTCGACGTACCACCTCAGCGACACTTCTTTGGGCACGTCGTCGGGTACTTCCATGGCGTGTCCACACGTCTCTGGACTCGCGGCCATTATGTACGAGGCGTACCCATTGGCTGGGTCCATGACCGCTTCACAGAGATGGGGTCTCCTGACGGCCACAAACCGTTCTGGTTGGGTCACAGAGATTCCTGAGAGTCCTCCCAGTGTCAATTTGGTAGCTGAGGCAATCCCACTGAAACCCTCGCCGACAACCTCGTTGACACCCTCGCTGACACCAGCACCGACTTCCTCGTTGACACCATCGCCGACACCCTCGCCGACACCGTCGCGGTCAACATCGCCGATCAATTTGCCGACACCGTTCCCAACACTGTTGACACCCTCGCCGACACCGTCGCCGACAGCCTCGTTGACGCCCTCGCCGGCACCGTCGCCGATAACCTCGTTGACACCCTCGCCAGCACCAGCACCGCCGCAAGCACCCGCGCCGACAAAAACGACACCAGCAACGCAAGCGGTCGCAGGCGTGGGAGACCCCCACCTCACCAACATGTACGGCGAGCGTTTTGACATCTACCGCACGGGCGTACACGTTCTTTTGCAAATACCGCGATGGGCTGGACCGCAGGAGACATTACTACGCCTGGAAGCCGACGCTAGGCGCATGGGCCGCATGGGCGACGCGTGTTCAGAGTTATATTTCCAGGCAGTGGGGATATCTGGCATTTGGACAAACCAGAGTCACAAGCTCGAGTTTTCCGCGAAGTCGGATGACAAGCCAAACAGTATGAGGTGGACTTTGTTCGGCAAGGTCGAAGTGAAAGTGGTAAACGGTCGCACTCGCCTGGGCCTCGACTACCTCAATGTCTTTGCCAGGAACATTGCCCATACCAATTATCCAGTCGGCGGCCTCCTGGGTGAAGACGACCATAGTTCTGTGACCACTCCTCCGAAAGCATGCATCAAGCAGTTGGTTCTTCTGGAGCGGAACGGTCACCCGCAGTTCCAGGCAACATCCGCCTGACCATAATGACGCCGTCTGCACACGACGTGATTCGTTTTGCCACCTGCTGCCCGCTATGAGCGGCCATGCGTTGACCAACCTCGAGCATTCCCCTTAAAGTTTGTTACACTTCCTTCTTCGCTCTATGTTTATTCCGTTGCGCCATGCGGTTGGCATGTCGCACGGTTTACATTTTGTCTGCACCAGTGGCGGCATTGCGGTCCCGCACGATCGTCATTGTGGTTTTGTTGTTGTGCATGTTGCACATGCGGTCGCACCAGTTGTTGGAGACGTGGTGACCAGCCTCGCGTCCATTGGCAACCGCCGCCGCCGCTGGAACTGCGTTGGAAACATTACCCTGTCGAAGGGCCCAACCATGTGAAGCTACGGGTACCGCGAGGCAAGTGAGAAGACGAAGGGGGCGCATGCGGACCCTGCCACTCGGACCTTCGGTGGAGCCCCCTATGGGGGCACGAACCGTGTGAGAGTTGTGCCAAATTGGGCGTCGGGCGCATGCGGACCTTGCCACTGGGGCCTTCGGTGGAGCTCCTTATGGGGCCACGAACCGTGTGAAGGGGTGTGCCGAAATGGTGCACATGCGGAGAGCAGAGGTATGGTGATGATGATGATGATGACACTGATGCTGATGCTGATGATGGTGAGGGCAGTGATAGTGATGGTGATGGTGATGAGATGGTGATGATGCTGATGATGACGACGACGAAGCTGCTTATGCTGATGATGATGAGGATGGTGGCGATGGTGACGGTGGTGCTAATGATGATGAGGATGAGGATGAGGGCGATGATGCTAATGACGATGATGATGGTGGTGATGGTGATGGTGATGATGGTGATGGTGATGGTGATGATGCAACTGATGACGACGATGATGATGATGATGATGATGATTATGTTGATGATGGCGACGAGGCTGATGTTGATACTGGTAAGTGCAATGATGATATTGGTGATGTTGGTGGTGATGACGATGCTGATGATGCTGATGATGATGCTGGTGATGATGATGATGATGATGGTGATGATGGTGATGGTGATGGTGATGGTGATGGTGATGGTGGTGATGATGCTGATGATGCTGATGATGATGATGATGGTGGTTGTGATGATGATGTTGTGATGATGATGATGATGATGATGATGATGATTATGATGGTGGTGGTGGTGGTGGTGGTGGTGGTGGTGATGATGATGATGATGATGATGATGATGATGATGATGAGGATGATGTGGATGATGGCGATGGCGGTGGCGTTGACGACAATGATGACGCTGATAACCGTGATGGCGGCACGCGGAGAGCAGAGGCAGGAATGGGTTGAAGGAGGAGGGAGAGGAGAGGAGGAGAGGAGGAGAGTACGCGGGGCGCCATCTCTTCAAGAAGACGCCCCAAACGGCTTCTCGAGGACCTTCACGAGAACCTTGAGAGGCAAGCGTCGCCCCATTCCCGCACATGTCTAGCACGTTCGCTGTCTTCATGCGCGCAACGTCAAAGACTGCCCCAGAGGCCCCAGTAGAGCCACCAACAGCCCAAGAGGTCCCCCAGAGAGCCCCAAGACGGCCCAAGAGGGTCTCATGACGGCCCAAGAGGCACCCCAGGACCGCCCAAGACGGCCCCAAGAGAGCCCCAACAAGGAGCTCATAGGGGTAATCCGAACCTACATTTCGAGGCGTCCGCCCCAAGAGGACCCTGAGGATCGCCAGCAGGCCCCCCAGGATCCCCCCGAGAGGACCCAAGAGGACCCCAAGACGCCCCAAGACGGCTCCGAGAGGACCCTCAGGAAGGCCTGAAGAGACAACATCGTCCTCTTCCTTTCAGAGCGCACGCGTGTGTAGCACATTCGCTGTCCTCATGTACGCGTCCAAGACGGCCTCGGAGGCCCCCCCGGCGATCCCCAAAACGGCCGAAGAGATCCCCCAGAGGGCCACAGGACGGCCCAAGAGGCACCCAGGACCGCCCAAGAGAGCCCCAAGAGGGACCTGTGCGACCCCATATGTCGTTTCGTTTCCGAGCAGCTTGAAAGGTGCACGTGCGGGGAGACACGTATCAAGGCAAAAGACAGGTCGTACATCGACCCTCCTTCAGAGGACATCGTGACATCGTTGCTGCATCGGCGCCCCTGGCTCGTCAAGGAGAGGTAAGTCAGAGGGAGAAGACTTATGTCCCAGACTGGCCGCAGACGTTTCCAAATTCAGTTGGCCTTCCAGGCGGCCAGCCGGGGCATCAGAGTCATTACTATCGCCCCCATCGCCTTCTTTCCCCGCGCCGCCTATCTCCTCCGACAGAGGAATGGCGGCGCCTACATAACGACATCGTTGTCACTCTGCAGCACTTTCTGCTGTCAGGTAAACGGATTCGCGCGCGCTCGGCAACCCCTTCAGTCGACCAGTCGGCTTACATATACTTAATTAGTACGGCAGATCCGCTTAGTAATGGACATTCTTCTAGCCATGCCAACACGTTCCACATCACCAAGACACAATGTGTGACCTATTCTGGGAAGTATGCCAGTACAAGATGAACAACAAGAACATCATGCACACTTGCAGACGGAAACCATCATTGCTGACAACATGCTGTCAGCGTGGTGCGGCGTCTGGCCCGTTCGCGGGCGTCTTTGACATCGTCCCGATCAAGTTCGGAAACAGGACCCCAAGAGAACCCCGAATACCGCCAACAGGCCCCCAAGGACCCGCTGAGAGGGCCCAACATGGCCAACATATGCTCCGAAAGGCGCCCCAGAAGGCTTTCAGAATTGTTTCCAAGAGGCTGCCCAGAGGTGTTCGCCAGATACGCGCACGTTTATTCAAGAGTTCTTACACCAACAGCCCAGGCACGGTGGCAGGATGTGCAAAAGGCCACCAGGAGGGCACACATGGACGACGGGCACGGCGCCCCTTCCTCTGTATGTTTTCCTCTTGCTTTGCGTTTTCAAAGACTCCACTTCGCCTTCTGCTCCTGCCTCTCCTTCCCGTTCTGCCATCGTCTTCGTCGCCGTCATGCTCCTGGGCTCTTATCCATTTTCTCGACCTCCAAACCGCCCTCTCGTCCGCTGCGTCGTCCTGGAGACCTTCGTGTTGAGGGAAAGACTGCTTATTACGTGTTTCCGTATCGCCTTCGGATTAAAGTCATATTCGGAACCGTCGCCCACCCCTCGGCATCTCACATTGAGGTGAGACTCCGGAGAATATGAGCGCGCGCGAATCGCGCGCGATGGTTCTCGTGTATTTGTTCCCCACATCCAAAGTGGGGTTCTTGTTTTCTCTGGACACCCCGCGCAGGAAAATGAACACACACACACCCACTCACACTCACTCACACTCTCTCATCATCAACCTCATCAGCATCATCGATGATACTCTCTCACATGCTTAGTCACTCACATACTCATCATCATCATCACTCGCACTCTCTCACACGCTCATGAACATCATCATCATCATCGGCATCGGCATCATCCTCATTCAAACATCATCATCGCCACCACCACTCACAATCAATCATCATCCTCTTCACCACTCATCTTCACCACCACTCATCATCCTCATCCTCATCATCGTTGGGTAAATTGTGAGGAAGTCTCAGGCGGGAGCCCCCTCCCTATGGGGCCCGCAGATCATGTTGGTAATCCGAGCGGGTCATCGGAACCTGTAACTGTCGTCACTTTTGGGCTCCCCAGGCCTGAAAATGGAGGAAGTCTCAGGCGGGAGCCTCGTCTGTGAGTGAATTGGAGGAAGTCTCAGGCGGGAGCTCCCTCCCTATGGGGCCCGCAGATCATGTTGGTAATCCGAGCGGGTCATCGGAACCCTGTAACTGTCGTCACTTTTGGGCTCCTCAAGCTTGAATTTGGAGGAAGTCTCAGGCGGGAGCCTCGTCTGTGAGTGAATTGTGAGGAAGTCTCAGGCGGGAGCCCCCTCCCTATGGGGCCCGCAGATCATGTTGGTAATCCGAGCGGGTCATCGGAATCCTGTAACTGTCGTCACTTTTGAGCTCCCCAGGCCTGAACATGGAGGAAGTCTCAGGCGGGAGCCTCGTCTGTGAGTGAATTGGGAGGAAGTCTCAGGCGGGAGCTCCCTCCCTATGGGGCCCGCAGATCATGTTGGTAATCCGAGCGGGTCATCGGAATCCTGTAACTGTCGTCACTTTTGGGCTCCTCAAGCCTGAATTTGGAGGAAGTCTCAGGCGGGAGCCTCGTCTGTGAGTGAATTCTGAGGAAGGCTCAGGCGGGAGCCCCCTCCCTATGGGGCCCGCAGATCATGTTGGTAATCCGAGCGGGTCATCGGAAACCTTGTAACTGTCGTCACTTTTGGGCTCGTCAAGCTTGAATTTGGAGGAAGTCTCAGGCGGGAGCCTCGTCTCTGAGTGAATTGTGAGGAAGTCTCAGGCGGGAGCTCCCTCCCTATGGGGCCCGCAGATCATGTTGGTAATCCGAGCGGGTCATCGGAACCCTGTAACTGTCGTCACTTTTGGGCTCCTCAAGCCTGAATATGGAGGAAGTCTCAGGCGGTTTTGTCCAGGGCGGAGGCGAAGCAGCTCGCGGCAGAGCTGGGCTTCGTGCTGCCTTCCGCCTGAGCGCGGCTGCGCCTCGCTCGAAGCCCGCGGGGTTGTCCCAACGGCTTGGTCTTGCGCGCCAACGGCTCGCGGGGTTGTCCCGACAGCCTGGCCCGCGGGGTTGTCCCAACGGCTGCGCGACGTGACCAGTAGAGAACGCGCCTGTGCTGGCCGTGGCGGCGACGGCGCCGAGGAACATCGACATGCGCGCTCATGCAACAGGAAGGGGAGGAGGTGGCGGGGCGCGGAACAAACAGGGGGGCGAGGATGGGGACAACGTAAGGAGTGGAAGGGGGGCCCGCGCCAAGGCGACAGGAAATATACGCAGAAGAGACAGCCAGGACGCCTCACCAACCACGAGGACGACGGTGATGGTTTTTTCCAGATTCGCCCAGAGGATTCTTATGTGGGGTTCTTCCGTCGGAGTAATTGTTATATATATATATATATATCTATGTATATATTTATCTGTCTATCTATCTATCTATGTATTGCTGCCATCCCCCCGAACCAAAATTGGCAGGAGTTGTGCGGGGCGCAACGCACCACGGACGCAATGTGGCCGGTTGATTTGACGGGTCCTATTTGAGGCCCCGGAACAGTGGGGGGGGGAATTCGTTCCGTTCACTATCTTGTGGCCCATTGGACACCGTGACACGATTATCCTTTTCCGATGGCAAATTCTATACATTGGCCGACTTGCCAGATAGGCCATCGGAGTGCCCAGCGTCGTGGCGTTGTTGCAGCTCGGGTGGCCAATATGACAACTGGACCCCGTTGTCCAACGGGCGATCGGAGCTGCAGCGGGCGCGGCGGAGCGGAGCCCCGATCACCAACTTGACACTGGGGCCCCGGTGACACACCGGGGGCGGCGGGCCGGGGCCAGTGAACGGACCCCCAGGCTGCGCATCGGACGGCGGGGGTCCCCAGTGGCAAAGAGCCAGCTGGCGAGGGCAACCGAGGGTTCACGTGGCAACGGGGCCCCATCGCCACATGGTCAAGCTTCGCTGTGGACTTTTTCTGGCGCGTTCGGTCTTTCTTGCCAGTTGGGCGGCGAGAAATGGGGGGGCGATGAATTGGGGGGCAGCGAGGGCTGCCGAGAAGGGGCCCTGCTCGGGCCCCAAAGGAGGCCTTTAGGACTCTAGCCTCGAAAAGGGCACCTCCCCCCCCATATATCGCACCCCGTCAATGACCTCGGAGCTGGTCAGACTACAGAAGGTCAGGCTGATGTGGCAAGCAGTGCGAGGATCAAACGGGAGCTCGCACGAGGATGGGGTGGAGCAGATACACATTCACAGGAAGATCTTTTCATCATGGGGGTCGGAATTTTCAGAGGGGTCGGCGAATTGCATGGCCCTTTCTTCTTCGTTCACTATGTGTTTTTGGCTCCCCCCCGGCCCGCGCACATACCTCTGGCCATGGTGCGCTAGCCCCCCCCCTGCTTTCTTGGCTTCTTTTTTTTCGGCGCACCCGCCAAGGCGGGATCCGTTTTTCTGAAGACGGACATGCTGTAAAGGATCGAAGCGCGCGGATCTCTTGGAACGGCGTTGGCTCCCCTGGCGGCGCCACTGGCTCCGCCCCTGGGACGCTCCGCGCGCCAGGGAGGGGGGCTCAGCGCCGATCCAAGAAATCCCCACGAGCCTTTGAGCACCTATGTTTATGCCGTATGTTCTTCTCGGCCTCTAGAGGAACATATCGAACACGTCGAACCCCGAGAAAGCCATGCTGTCCACGCCTGCCATTTCACGTTTCGAGCACGCTGGCATCATGGACAAGTTCTACTCCTCCTTCAGCGCCACCAAGATCATCTGGGCACATTTGGGTGGTCAGCTGCTGGAGTTGGTTAAACAAGATGTGAGGCAACACGCTGCCTTCTTGTGTCAACTCTTGCGCAAACACCCGCACGTGTGGGCCGATATTAGTTATGACGTGATCTACAAGTGTGTTTCGATGATCACGCTGGCATGATCGGAGAAAGCGTGGACATCGACGAAGATGCACCTCCAGAAGTCAATCAGTTGCGGCAAGAGTTTGCAAAGAGCGTATCGGAGACATATCTCAATTTGTTCAACGAGTTCCCGCTTCGTTTCTTGTCTGGCACGGATTGGGCCTGCACGCAGGAGAACGTGACATTCGATGTTTACGCACGAGTTCTGAAGGACACGGGCTTCATATTCATGTTTAAGCAAGGACTGATCGAAGAAGCCTTCAATGGCATTGTTCCAGGCCAGAACTATTTAGATGTGCATGCCGATCTCGATATGGTCTACCAAGTTCCAAACTTAGTAAAACACGTTGGATGAGCACGTTGGTCCTATCGGTCTTGTGGGAGTGCCTTGAGATGGGATCGCTGAGCTGTGAGGTGCCGCGTTATAGGTTTTAGCCTCTGTGAAGTTCCAGCTGCAACGATTGCTCACATGTGCGCCTGAGCAGACATGCCAGATACTTCGCGGCTCGCGCTCGGCAGGAACGCCTTCACAGGGCGGCCCATTTGGCCAGAGGATGTAGACACAGGAGGGATGCGGAGTAGGAGAGTGACAGAACGTACACGCAGGTGTGGCAAACACCACGCTGGCCGCACCCAGCATAAAACTGTTTCCGTCGGCGGCGAGGCAGAATAGCTGCACCAGCGATAGATCTAAACGGGGGCACCGAGAAGCGAATTGGCCAGCGTGCAGGAGAAGGGAAAGGACGGACAGGGCGGCCGCGGGAGGAGGCGGGGCCATCCAGAGGCGGAAGACTTCCGTCCTTGGCGTGCTGGCGCGGCCGGCCCCGGCAGCGGGAACCATGGCAGCAGCCAGGCCGCAGCGCCGGGGCACCCACGGGCGATGACGGGGCCCAGTACGTGGAGGCAAATACCGCAGTGATGCCGTCGGTGAAGTAAGACTAGGTACTTGCACGTCCGGAAAAGCGCCGCGAGGCCGCCCAGGTGGGCGGCTGGGTGGATAGGGTACGGCAAGCCCTTTGAGAATCTAGGTTTCACATCGCCACCAGCCAAATGCTGGGCCCGAAAGGTGGGCGCGGGCGGCAAGACCATGCCCACTCCCTCCTCCGCTATGCCGGAGTTCTGCGCGGCGGGCTGGCGTTTTCCAGCGGCTGCACGTCGATGGACCGTGCGGTGCCAGCAGGGTCAGAGGACGGCTGATCTTGATTCGGTTGTTGCTGGAATAGCCCTTGGCCCAAGATGCCCCCAGGATTGCCAGGGAAACGCCCACGGCCTCCAGAGGACCCCATCACGAGGCCCGAAAAGCTGGGGGCACCTTCAGTAACCCCCGATGGATAAGAAGTGCGTGATGGACCGTGTGGTACGCCAAATAATCTCTTCTGTAGAATCACGGAGAGGACAGTTTTCGGATGTCTGCGCGGATTTCTTGGATTTGGGTTGGGCCCCACTGGCGGTGCCTCTGGCGCCGCCCCTGGCGCGCTCCGCGTGCCGAGTAGGGGGGACTAGCGCCGACCTAAGAATTCCGCACGGACCTCTGAAAGTAGACGTTTATGTGTAGTTTGTGCTTCGAATACTGGTCGCGACGACGATGACGACGGCGACTTCGATGCGGCCAGTTTTCCAGATTCATTTCAGTCCGATGGATCCGATCAGGTGTGCTGCTGCACGACATCCTCGCAACGTTAGGAGAACATTGGTTTTTTCCAAGGGAAGCGCAAGATTCGAGTTCGCCAGGATTTGGGGTTGCCCACGCCGATTGACGGGCTGCCTACTCAGTAATTGAGATTTGACGGTCCAGGCGTCGTGGGATGTTTCCAGCGGGAGTTCGCGTCAAATTTTGGATTTGGTCTTGTCATTTTCTTGACAACCCTGTCAGGCGAATCCGATTCTTACATCTCCCCGATGTTTGATAGAACATTCTTCCATTCGAAGAACACCGGGACGGTCGGTCCCCGCTCATTTTTGAGCGCCCGCGCGCGGGCGGCACGCTCTCGCATAGTAGAGCGCGGGTGCTGCGCGGAGAGGTCCGAGATGACGATCCGCAAGACCATTTACCTCATCCTGGCCATGCTCATCGTGATGCCGCTGATGGTGCACGAATAGCGTAACCTGGTATTCCCCCGCCCCCTCTCTGAGGAGAAGTCATGATGATGACGACGACGACGACGACGACGACGACGACGACGACGACGACGACGACGACGACGACGACGATGATGATGATGATGATGATGATGATGATGATGTTGATCACGAGGATGACGAGGATGACCAGTATGACCAGGATGACCAGGATGACCAGGATGACGAGGATGATGATGATGATGATGCTGATGATGCTGATGATGCTGATGCTGATGCTGATGCTGATGCTGATGATTATGCTGATGCTGATGCTGATGCTGATGCTGATGATTATGCTGATGCTGATGCTGATGCTAATGCTGATGCTGATGCTGATACTGATGCTGATGCTGATGCTGATGCTGCTGCTGATGATGATGATGATGACGATGCGCCCCCCAGAATTCCAAGACTTTCTGCTGTCCCGCGCGGCTCAACCGGGTCCTCCCCCGCCCCTTCTGAGAGCAGCAAGAGTCCGCGAGCCAGCGCGAGCCCTACCTCTGCGGCTGCGGTCGACGATGAGGTCTCGAACGCCCCCGCTGGGGCTCACCTGGTTGCAGACATCCTTCGACGTCTGAACCCCTCGGAGAGGTGGGAGAAATCTGACCTGCAGGGGTCGGGTCCGCTTGTGCTATTCTTCATGGGGGCCTCGGAGGGTCCCACACTTCCTTGCGGTTTGGGGGATCTCGTCGAAAGGTCGTCGGTTCTGATTGACATTTGGACGATATCTGGACGAAAGGGTGAAGAGGGGTGACCGAAATTTGGTCGACATTCGGTCGAAATCATGCTCATGACAGGGCCGCGGAGGTCCACAGAGGCCCCCATGAAGCTTCACCCAGGGCTCGCACGTGGTTGCCCCAAGAAGATAGATTCCGAGAGCTCCAGATGTTCCTGCTGTCCCGCGCAGCCGGGAGACGCACGGCCGGTGCGCGAGTGGCCGAGAGCTGCGAGAAGCTCAGGCACGCCCCACACGCATCCTAAGCCAACCGTATCACTACATCATTCCAGGGTTCATTTCGACCCCTCCCAATTCGATTCGATATCGATCGATTCCGATTCCGACTCGGTTCGACTTCGGATTCCGATGCGGGTTTCGGTTTCTCCATGGGGGCCTTACTCGCCTGCCGATTTCAGCCGTTTCGATGTTTTCCGATTTGCCTGCCGATTGTTGCCGGTCCTATTCGGCATATCGACATATCGATTCGATCTTGGGCTCTCCTGCCATTCTCGTCTTACCCTCTCCCTTCGAATTCGGCCGCGTGCCCCGGAGAAGAAACAGCAGCATAAACTTCTGCGTTCGGAGGTGCACGCGAATGGTTTGGATCTGCGCGCTCGACCCCCCTGGCGGCGCCTCCCCCCATGGCGCGCTCTCCGCGCGCCATGTCTCGAGGTCCGGCGCCGATTCAAGAATCCCGCGCGCGGACCTTCGACCGGTCGTGTGCATGCAGGCTCTTGCTCTTCCGAACACCGCAGCGCCTCGGTTTTCGAGCCTGAGATATTCGGCCATCGTCCTATGCCTAGCGTGTAGTTGGGAATACGGCTATACTTGCTCAGTGCTCAGCACGTAGCGTGTATCCTGCGTGGTTGGTACTTAGCGTGTATATCGGAGGGCTTTCTTCGCCCGAACCCACTTAGCGTGTGCGCCCCTGCGTTGCTTAGCGTGTCAACAGCTTCGGTTTCGCAGAGCCCGAAATCACATACACGCTAAGAATAGGACCATGACCGTAGTCCTATAATTTATTGGTATCGCCTTATCTCGACGCCGATCGTGAGGATCCCTTCGGTCTCTGAGCGCGCATCCCTGAGACTGTCATCGCCTTCGGCTCTCCTGCCATTCTCGTCTTACCCTCTCCCTTCGAATTCGGCCGCGTGCCCCGGAGAAGAAACAGCAGCATAAACTTCTGCGTTCGGAGGTGCACGCGAATGGTTTGGATCTGCGCGCTCGACCCCCCTGGCGGCGCCTCCCCCCATGGCGCGCTCTCCGCGCGCCATGTCTCGAGGTCCGGCGCCGATTCAAGAATCCCGCGCGCGGACCTTCGACCGGTCGTGTGCATGCAGGCTCTTGCTCTTCCGAACACCGCAGCGCCTCGGTTTTCGAGCCTGAGATATTCGGCCATCGTCCTATGCCTAGCGTGTAGTTGGGAATACGGCTATACTTGCTCAGTGCTCAGCACGTAGCGTGTATCCTGCGTGGTTGGTACTTAGCGTGTATATCGGAGGGCTTTCTTCGCCCGAACCCACTTAGCGTGTGCGCCCCTGCGTTGCTTAGCGTGTCAACAGCTTCGGTTTCGCAGAGCCCGAAATCACATACACGCTAAGAATAGGACCATGACCGTAGTCCTATAATTTATTGGTATCGCCTTATCTCGACGCCGATCGTGAGGATCCCTTCGGTCTCTGAGCGCGCATCCCTGAGACTGTCATCGCCTTCGGGCTGGTCTCGTGGCAAGAGATAACCCTGAGATCCCACGTTGTGTAAAAAAGTGCAATGGCGTGACAAATCACGACTGGAGCTCTGGACCCCTCTTTCTGTGATGGTCCCGGGGTCCGGAGCCGCATCGATTTGTGATGGTCTCGGGGCCCGAGGACGAGCGAAAACGTCTGGCGTGAACAAAACATGCAACGCCCGGATCTCAGGGACATCAGTGTTTCCTGGAGTCCCGGGGGCCGCACGTGGAGAAATCGACTCATGACGAAGAGTTGGTCCTGGGGGAAGGCCCCAGGGTAAAGGACCCGTTTCCTTCAGGACCCGCTTCCCCCATGCTAAGATGCCCTCACCGTCGGGTTTCGCGGCATCCATCCGCATTCGCGGGGATAGACTGGTGGTGGCGCAAAGGAACCTTGCCTCACTGGGGATAGGGGTCGAGCTGACGGTGCTGACTCTCTTCATTCCTGTTGGTGCTGAGTTCTCGAGCTCCCCATTGATCAGCATGATTGATGGACCGATGCTCGGGGATCGAGGTTCTTGGATGCGCTTGTCCGCCCTTTCGTGCCGCTGGCAGGCTTCTTGTCGCCCCGGCTCGATCCCCCAACGAATCTGGCCAGATTGCACCCCTGGCTGGGTCCGGGGGCCGATTATTCGGGGTCGCCACGACATTGCCACGAAGAAACAGTTGACCTGTAGTTAGGAAAGGAGCCCTGAGTCCCTGATTTTTTTGTTGGTGCTCCAGCTCCCGAGCAACAATTCAGGATCAGAATCTACTTCGTGGAAAAAAAAGCCCAGGGGACCAGGAT